TTCTCGTTCACAAAAGCTATAGAAAATTGAGCAATCAATGAAATTCCGTCTTCTGACAATTGAGTCTAACCTAACTTTGGTTTCTGGTACCATTTGACTGCCTGCAATGTACATTTTTCATTACTTATTACCGTCACGGGCTGCCACCAAAATAACATTCGAAGTGACACAAACGTTTCCTTCAAAACATTTCACTCACTAAATTGAATTTTTTACATTCTCTACCCGCCGCGTTAAACCGTGCAGGAAACATTTTTTTCTGTGTGTAGTATCACGCTTAGCCATGAAAAGATTTCAATTTTTATGCTTTTGAATATATAAGGGCTGGGAGTTTCCCCTTCTAAAAAGTTATATCAGAGTTCATTCTGGATTATTTAAAAGAATTCCACAACATTCCAGGAAATCCCGGAAATATTCTAGAACATTCGGGAAACTACCGAAATATCCCAGATCATTATGGAATGATCAAAGAGTTTCTCATTTGGTGTAGTCGCCATCTATCTCCGTGAAAATTATTCCCGATTAAACCTGAAGAGAGAGCTTTTAAAGATATAAGGGCTGGAATGATCACCCTCTAGGAAGTTCCTCAACAATACAGAACATTCCAGAGCTTTCAAGAGTATTCCACATCATTCCTTAATATCCCAGATCATTCTGGACTGCTTGGAAATAGTCTGGAATATTTGGTAACATCCTGAAACATCCCATATCATTGTGGAACAATCACATGAGTTATATATGGTGTGGTAGCGCATAGAGGGCTTGATTTTCAAATTATAAAGGCAATATTTCCTTTAGGAAGTTCTAGAATAGCTTTACATATGTAGTTTTGCCATTGTTTTGAGTGACTCGTGACACAGTTCATTGTCTTGATGAAACAATTTTTTTTGCAATTTCGGCCTTTGATCGCTTCAATAACTCTATTTAATATTCACTGTTGATGATATTTCCTTTCTCAAGATAGTCGATGAATATTACACCACGCACATTCCATGCCGATTGTTGTGCTTTCGGGCACTTTGGGCGAGGTTCACCAGTTCCTCTCCACTCAGATGACGATCGTTTCAATTCCGGAGTGAAGTGATGGATCCATGTTTCATCCATTGTCACATATTGACGCAAACATTCCGATTTGCTAGGATTAAACATGGCCAAACACTGCTCAGACGTTCTTGTTGTTGGTCAACATTGCAGTGAGCTCGCGCGGCACCCACTCTGAATAGAGCTTTCTCTTAGTCTAATTATCATGCAATATAGAGTCAACACATTCTTTTGATTTTATTTCAATGTCAGCTTACTCAAGCAACTTCACTTTTCGATCATTCAATTTTATTTTATGGATTTTTTTTATGTTTTCTGGTGTTACTGCCTCATTTGGACGTCCACTGCGTTCTGTATCATCGGTGTCTCTACGACCCTGTTTCAAATCAGCAAATCAACGTTAAATTGTTGTTTCTGATGAAACTGAATTCTTTTAATACTTTTCAAGCTTTTGCTTCACTTGAACGGTATTTTTTCCCATCAAGAAGTGGTGTAAAATTCAAAAACGGAATTGTTTTTGATCCATTGTTTTGAGAATAACGAAATCAGTGTCAATCTTAGCATTTCAACTCACAAACATATGAGTTGGATATCATGAAATTTCAACAGATGTTTTTTGAAGGTTAGTACTAACTGAAAAAGCCGTGGATGCAATGAGACTAGTGCCATCTTTGTGTTAGTTCCGAAACTATACTGGCCTCAGTATTTTCAGATACATTTGAAAATGTACTTCGGTTCTTCAATACAGATGGATCCTGTTTCAGTTCTTCTAGGCCTAATTTATTGTTGTTCAATATCAAATGATTCAGCCTTATGGTAGCTTTCATTCCGGTATTTTTGGTTTTATCAAAATATTGACGTAGAACTTCATTTACAGTCTGTCGTTCAGGACTCAAATCGTCTACAACATACATATTTTTTTCTTCGAGTTCAAAAAGGTTTCTTTGAATTTCGATTTTGTTCATGTACGATACTGGCTCAAATTTCAGTATTTTCTTCACATTTGTATTACTAATGAAATAGAAGATGTTGTTGATAACTTCCAAATTGAAATATATTTCTAGAATACCTCTCAAATAGTTGAGACAAAGGTCGCGAATATCACACTGAAATCCGAATAAGATCATTCCTTCAAAGTTTGTTATCCAACCGAATGATTTCCTTCTCCAATATTGCGTATTCTATTCTAATCTATTCTATTCAGAGCTGCTGGATTCCATCCAGAAAAGAGCCATCTGCCTGATTGGAGACACAAACATCACTTGCAACCTTTATAGTCTGGACCATCGAAGGAAGGTTGATTTGTCTCTTTTTTATAAATACTTTCACGGAAGGTGTTCAAGTTACTTGGCACATTTGATTCTACCAAGAGTGGTACATATCACAAATACGCGACGGAGTGTGGCTGCTCATCGTTTTGTGGTTCAACAGAGTACACCTCGAACTCCTCTGCTGGAGAACTCTTTCATTTGGAGAACTGCGTTTTTGTAGAATAAACTTCCTGAGAAAGTTTTTCCAAATGAATGCCATGGTAATGAAGTGCAACATGAATCGCTAGTTTCGTACAGGCACCGTTCTCAGGGCGCCTTCAGGATTTTTCTGTCGTGCTTGTATTCTTTTCATAACAAAAATGTCCAAAAGATATTACCTGTGTTTTATCTGAATTGTATTCACATAAAATAAGGAAATTTCCCAGGGAATAAGCTATGCGCCTACACTGATAGGAAAGAATGGGATGCTTTATCGGCTTCGAGAGATAACGTCCGTTTTTGTAGAACGTTTTTGTCTCGTTTTATGTTGATCAACTGACACACCAACTTACTGCTGGATAACGTACTTCTAACTATTTTATTTTTATAAGAATGGCATCAAATAAGTCATCGCCTATAAGTGGAAGTCTGTACAAAATTGCAACATTTATATGTTAAGGCAGATTTCCACCAAACGGACTCGCTTGCGACTAGTTTCGTTGTTAAAAATAGAAACGAAAAATTTGTTTCAGTTTCGAGAACAAACTGGAAACTCAAGTTCCACCAAACACAAAAATTAGTCTGAGTCGCTGAGATCATTGTTGAGAAGACTAGTAGATTATGGATAAGATTAACACCACACATTGAACGATTTAAATAAAGTGATAATGTCACACCCCAATAAAATAGTTAACTGAATAGTTGCTTTTTGTCGCCGACTGTTTCCACATAGCGAACTCTGTTTACAAAAACACAAACAAAACACTGAAACCTGCCTACCTGCCGATAGGGCATTTCGTTGTCGACAAAAACAGTCCCCCGCGACACACAGTTTTCAAAATATTTCTCATTTTGTCTTTATGTTTTTCCAAATAATCGTCACTTTTCTCAGGAGCCCACTTATATAGAACGATTTCGCGCGACACCAATTTTAACAGTGAATAATAATTGGTGAAATTCGATGAAGATGCATGTATCTTCATCTTCATCACAACTGACTTACTGGAGAAAAACGAAAATATCAAGATACTTAAATTTATCGGAAAAGGGGAAAACACATATATCAAAATACCTAAATTCATCCTCATGAAGGTGAGTTCAATCCCAGAAAGTGATGGCTGCCCAATTATCGTATGGGATTCGAGTGATGAAGATATTTTTGCGCCCAAATTACCACCCGTTTAACAGAAAGAAGCACGATTTGTTGAAAACTCTCTCAGCTTCGATGATAATCCTGCACCTTTTTAAATATACATAAATTCGCATGTGGAAATGAATAAACTAACCGATTATTAAAAGTGTAAATAAATTGTTTAATTTATAACAAAGCAAAATTGTATCGTAACACAATAAGCAAAATAGAGGAGCAGTTTCGCGAGCTTGGTCATGTGGGGTACATGAAAAAATCAGCTGCCAATGCAATAAAGTGATCCACTCGAATTAGATGTGATGCTTGAGTTTGAGGAAAACCTACATACATCGAGTAGACAGGCATCCACTACATTCAATGTTAGCCATACATCGATAGTAAACATATTAAAATAAAATAAAATGCATCCCTATGAAAAAATGATATCTACTCAGGAGCTCATGGAAGAAGATTTTTGTGAGCAAATAATGGACATGTTGGATAACAATATCATTCAATTAGAAGACGTTATGTTTTCTGATGAGTGCACTGTGTCTCAATGGTCATGCTAATCGGCTAAATTGCCGCTACTGGTCAACGGAAAATCCTCACTGGATGAGAGGAGAACACCCGCAATACCCTCAAAAGGTTAATGTTTGGGCAGGGATTGTAGGAAACCATGGCGATAATGGCGAATGGCGATGATAACTATTACCCAACATTTCAAAATGATCCAGAAAACCCTCAAGTTCCAGTGAATACGATATGGTTTCAGTAGGATGAAACACCACCATATCACCAAGTTAATGTCTGATGGCAATACCTCTATACAACATTTCCCAATCGGTTGATAGGGAGGCGAGAATCGATTGGATGGCTAGTGAGATCACCTGATCTTTCATCAATTGATTTTTTATAGGTATATGTAAAGAGCAATGTTTACAAAACTGAACCTTCAGATTTGAATGACTCAAAAGAACGAATAACGCTTGCGATTAGGTCAACAACAAACGCTGCCTCCGAACTTTATTTTTCATTCAATATCAATTTTACTCCACTTTTTCGATTTTCCACCAGGATTTCAAATCTCATAATCCTGAAGCACTCACTTTCATCACAAGACTTTTGTAATACACCAAACACGTTTTGCAATATCAATATTGTCTCGATGACTATAGTTCGAGGAGTAGAAGCTTCACATAGATGTGAATAGTTCAGTTCTTCTATTTGTATAGAAATATATTCTGTACATCATTCCAAAATTACTATAATATATTTTCAACAACAAGAGAAAATCTATTATCCTCAGTAAATAATTTCCAGTGTATATATTTCTTTTAATACATTACTTACCTTTTCAGATGAAATGGGAAACCAGCAGGTGAAACCAGAAGAGAAGCTAAAGTACATCAATCTTGAGGTCAATTCACTGAGAGCGAGTTTTAGGAGAACCAGAAGTAGGATTACAAAGACAGGCCAGGAGGAACATTACCGACACTTAGTGAGATACTCCAAAGAAGTTAGTGCCCTGAAAGGAAAAGTAAAGGAGAAACATTTAACAAAAACTCAGGAGAACATTTCCAATACTGTAACGGAGGTTCTCTCAACCCCCGTACATGAACGGGAATCAATCTTGGATTCGGCAGCTATCGAAACTAACTCAATCATTGAAGTGCCTAAGAATAGAAGACGATCTTCTTCGAAAACAATCCCAATAAATTTTTCACCCATAAAAAAATCCATAAGCAGTCAGAACATGTCCAGACACGTTTCAACTTTGGAAGACATTGATTTGAAATTTAAATCTCTCAAACCACAAATCAAAACTGCAATCGAAAATAAGGATAGTACCCAACTGCGAGTTCATAAGAAGACTATCGAAGTACTCGCAACAGATCTTGAAATGATTGAAATTTCTGAGGATACCCCTCTTGGCGATAGAAAAGAAAAATTGGTATCTTCTCTCACTTCACAATACCAAAAAATCAACTCTGCTATGAAAGAGATTCGAAGAAGTAAAGATATAGAATTCCTCTACGAACAAAACAACAATACTTTGGTGAGGAAGTTGGAGGAAATCCGAAAGGAACTGGGAAAAACTGATGCTTCTCTGAAAGAAGCAATTAAAGGTAATGACCCTAGTTCAGTGAAGGCAGCACAGGAAGACTTGGTGAGAATCAATCAGAGATTGTCATCTATTGAAGTTATCGATGAAAATACCAAGAACATTAAAATGCAGATAGTTGACCAAATAACTTGGCTGTACAAGTACATGAATGATTCAACGAAGAAAGGGAGTCAGTCTGATTTAACGAAAGCACAGGTGACGTACGAAGAACTTATCAAAAATATTGCCAGTGGAAAAACAAAAAACAAGGATGATATAAAAGGCAAACTTGAAAGTCTCCAGAGTTTTGTCAACACCATTGATGACGTAGATGAAAGCGAAGAAAAGAAGAAAAAACAGCTTCTCATCAACATCAACGATTCTGTCTCTTCTCTAACTGGTACTGAGAAGAAGGAACTCAATAGTGAGCGAGAAGATAAATCTATTTTGAAAAAAAAAACCTCCGTTGATATACTGAAAGAAGTGAAACAATTTTGCGATTCCGTCGAAAAAACCATCAAACTAGTGAAATTCACTGAACAAGAATTTAACAACTTGATGACAATTTTAGGAAATGCGGTGCGATCTATAGAAACAAGTCGGGAAAACATATCGCCTGTTAAGCCAAAGTTGAACAAAGTGCTGAACTATTCTTCTCCTGATTTGACAACTTCAAATAAGAGCCAGAATGACTTCAAAAGCAAATCCAATACTTTTGAAAATGTTAAGAAAGCGGAAAAAGGTGCAAGTGATCTGGTGACGTCCAAAGAGAAAATGAAAAAAGAGCAAGGGAAGCTAGATAAAACGATGAAGAGAGAAACTCATCACATTCGAGATGAAAACTGTTTTTCTGTTGTGGATCAGATTAGAACACAAGTCAACTATATTAAAGAAAAAATTGGAGAAATTGAGGACGACACCCATGTGAGGAATAAACTCGCTTCCTTCAGAAAAACTCTCCAGGCCTACTTCAATCACAATAACCAAACAATTGCCAATAATGCAAAAATAGTCTCGCTAGATATTCAAAAATTATTGACAAATATTTCGAACAGTCAAGACTTGAAGCAAGTATATTCATTCGGGAAGATTGAAACCATTCACGAATGTTTCGAACACATGAAAAAAGTTGTTGAAGAATTTTTTGATAAGAAAGAAAGTGATGCGTTTGAAATGATCATAAAACAGTTATTGGCATGTAAGCAGTATTTAACAGAGAATAAAAATATCACAGGTGAGCAGAAAGACGAAATATCTAAAAAACTACGATATCTGATGAAAGTTATGGAAAAAAAGGCAAGTATCCAAGAAACATTGACGGCTCTCAAAGAAAAAGTGAACAGATTTTCAGGAGCTTACAAAGGTGTTCTTTATAATAAAATTGAAAAAGATTTGAATAAAATAATCATAGATGCCAGTGAGCATATAGACAATAAGACAATATCCGACGAAGTAACTAGACAAGCTGAAAAGCATTTGAAAATATTGGAACACCGGGCAACAAGGGATCAAAGTTTCAGAAGAGCGATAAGTGAAAGGCCGATAGCAATAGACGATGAAAAAATTATGAAACTGAGAGCAGAAGTAGAAAATATTAGGAATGACATGGAAATTGTTGCCGGTAACGATGTTGATTCTTTCATGCATTTAAAGTCTCGTTTAGATCTTGTTATATTAGAACTTGACCAACTAAAAAAATTGAACGAAAACGAAGAGCAGATGAAGACTTCAATACAAAATGAGGTCGATGCCCTCAAGATTATAGTGGACGCAAAAATATCAACAGCTTTGGAGAATCGCAACATCCTCCTAATGAAAAAAGACGAAGCTAGTGAAGGTAAATATACAGAACGATTAGATAAAATTGAAAGAGGATTAGATGAACTCAGGAGTGAAATTGAAAATTTCGTGGGAACCACTTCCGATAATAAATTTTACGAACTGGATGAGTGTGCTATCAGAATAATTCTGAAAATAAATGATATGGGGACCTTTCCTGAAGGTGGAGAGTTATATAATAAAAAAGTTAAACTTTCAGAAGAAGCTATGCATTGTAGTAAGATGCTGAGCCAAAGAGCGAATGAAACTGAAGAGCTCATCAATTTCGAAAGGAGAATCAGTGATATCGAAAATAATTTCGACCACTACACAAAATCGACGAAAGACTTGGAAAAATTAGCAGAGCACATCGAAATTGTGAAACGAGACCTACAAAAAACGAACTTCAACAAGAACTTGAGGGAGAGAAAACAGAGTTGTGTTGAGCAGATAGATAACGTTGTGAAAAAAATAGATGAAAGAAATGATAATGAGAAAGTTGAAGCTACTGATTCTAAAACTTCAATGAATATTGAGAATGCTACTGAGAAACAAATCAAGACTACTACAGAAGATAAAGTGCATCAGCAAGTTATGAACGAAAAACAATCCAAGGATACATATATTGGTAGTACTGCATTCTTGAAAGATATCGAACGGAACAAAATTGGAAAAATCACAACTGAGGAGCAAGAACTTGATAGAATTGAAGAACAAACTGAAAAAATTATTGGAAAAATTGCAGTCTTCGATAATTCCGATACGAGTGAGGAGTATCAGCAGCTTGAAGATGATATATTGAAGCTGAACGTGAAATTGAACCTCCTGAACATCAAGAAAGAAGACGTCCTTGATGATAGAAAGAAGGATGTTGAACAGAAAATTTCAAACTGCCTAGACTATTTAGACAAACGAATGCAGGCCTTAGAAATTATATCTAGCATAGAAAATGAATTAGAGATTGTGAATAAAAAAATAAAAAAATGCTCTACAAAAGAAGAGAACAATAAGTTAAATGAAAAACTTATCGAACTCCAAGTCAAGTTGGGAAGAGTTCAGTTGGATGATGAGCCTAACAAGAGGAAAATGTTGTGTCATAAGAAAATTAAAAATTATTTGATAAAGCTCAAGGAAGGCACTAATATTATTCATGATACAACCATTTGAATTGTTGTTTGACCGAATTATCTCCAATATTTGTTCCACAATAGAATAAAAACTTGATACTATTGTCATTTTCATAAGACATGGTTGATTTCAATAATAATTTATTCATGTATTTATATTTATTCCAAATGTTTGCTTACCTTAGATCGAACATCAAATAAACTTATTTTGTTGGACATTCAAAACGGTTCTGGTGACCATTAGAGTGCTGCAGCTTTTTCTGATTCACCAAAAGCTAGAAATCGTATACGCTCTTTTCAGTAAAGAATAATTTTTTCCATATAGACTAATTAAAAAGTTCACGGTACCCTAATAACAATGATAAGCGCACTTAGTTTGTTCTTACATATTCAGAAAAAACTTTGAAGCAGTAACTCCATTAGGAGAACTGAAAAAAAGTAATTCCAGAATGTTGAGCGATGAAACCGTTGAGGTTTATTTTACTGTACTTCAATTATCTTCTCTTGGATATCAAATCATTTTTTGAGACAGTGGAAATCTGAACCTCTTATAGTCAAACCTTTCTGATCTCCTATCCAAAAAGTATTTCGAGTAGAGGAGGATTTGATATTTCTACCAACATTGGTTCTATTGAATTATTAGATGTAATACAAAAGAAAACGGTTCAACTCGAAGCATCAATTTCCATCACTGAAAATCTATATTATTCTCTCTTGAGTCATTTATGGACGTATACTGACAAATATTTTGAGGATAGTCAAGTGTATTTCAACCCTTCATTGACATCAATTTGACTAATTTCCATTGAATATTTATCAAATAGTGGTATATATTCGATATTAAATCAGGTGAAGAATCTCTGGGACTTTGATGTTTCGTAGAAATGGAAAACTATTTTTCAGATTTGCTTCAATCAGTTTTATTTCTTCCAATGGAGAATTATATTTGCTTTGAATTATCTAAGAACAATTCGTTCAGACCAGTCTCAACTCCCTACACAGTAGGTTAATGGACTGAGACCTATCAGAAAACAACTACTCCCCTGGCTAATACCACGAAGGGCGTTGGATTATATCCGACAGGTGTCAGTGCAGGATTCCAGTTCCAGTCCAAGAGGACAAAGCAGTGCTTACTCTATGTCTATCGGCAGGGATGACATTAGTTCATGAGGAATTCGAATCGATTTCACAACCCTGAGTGTCAAAGATTTCATTTTAACGTTTAACGTATTCTTTTTCCTCAAGGTATGAAGAAGTAGTTTGACTGAATTCCTTATTCCATTCGAAAATCTAGGTATTCATTTGGAGTATTGGGACAACATTCCAATAATTCTTTGAAGTCAAGTTGTTATTTGCAGAAGGAAGATTTGTGAAGAGGTTTACTCAGCGTTAGGTCTATAGTGTGAGTTGGAGAAATATTCCTTTTCGATGTGAAATATCTATTATAGTCGTAGGGTGAAAAAATTGCTGTCGTGACAACGCGTGCCTTTGCGACGAGTCGCCATGCGCAAACGACTGTGCGATTCTCTTCCCACTGGTTCGGCGTTATTTTATCTCTCTCGCCACACGAAGTTTGGATACCTATAGTGTAACCAGTTGTGTTTACTACAGTATACATAAAATATGTTTTACCAAATGAATTACTTTTGAAAGATATGTCTGACAGAGATAATTTAGATAGTGAGAGTGAGCAGCCTCCTGCAAATAAAGCAAAATCACACTACGACACACTATCAAGTCATCAGTATAATCAAAGTGTTCATTGATCTATGCGTTAGGCTCACGTGTATTTGGTCTGTCTCAAGGGTCAGTAAATATAAAATAATTGATATTCACACAATTTCCATAGCATATAATATTGAGTATTAACTAATTTTAATTTCATTCATATGAAAAATAATGCACCAAAACACCAGGAATATAAAAAAATCAATGAATTAATTGATGTGCTAATGATGGTGGAATCCATATCAAAACATTCATTATTGATTTTCATGATTTAGGATCTTCAGTAATATTTGTAGAATATTTTCTAGAAGATATGCTGTAATGTATCCTTAACGGCAGCATCCTTCACATAGAATATTTGCTCGACTACATCAACGATTACGATAATATGGTTCATTCGACAGAAGAACGCAGGATTGTGGCCGCCATCGAGAAGTACGAACACCACAGCTTGAGGAAGCAGTACTTAATTTGATTGAAGAACAACACACTACCAGTACTAGAAAAATTGCTTTCCAGCCAATTTCGGCATTTCGAATTTTTAAGGAACAACTCTTATACCCTTACCATCTGCAACGAGTACAGGCACTGTTACCGCGAGACTTTCCGAACCGTCTTGAATTTTGTAATTGGATGCTGGAAATGATTAGAAGAAATTGTGACTTTCTGAAGACGATAGAATTCACAGACGAATGTAGTTTTTCTCGGGAAAAGATTATTAATTTTCATAATTACGACATATGGGCTGATGAAAACCCCTATTGTCGAAACTAACCTAAACTAACCATCAATAACAGTTTTCTCCTAACGTGTAGCTCGGAGTTATTGGGGATGATTTGATTGAGCCTCATTTCCTACCTCCTCGATTAAATGGTGAGTCATACGTTCAATTTTCAAGAGAAGTGCATCCAGTACTGCTGGAGGAAGTTCCTTTGGGCATCAGAAGGGATATGTTTTGTATGCATAATGGGGCTCCCGCCCATTTTAGTTGAGTAGCACGTCAACATTCAACTGAAACTCATCAAATCAATGGATAGGTCGAGAAGGACCACATAACTGGCCCGCTCGATCCCCGGATATCAATTTTCTCGATTTATCTTTTTGAGGCCACTTACAGCATTTGGTTTATCGTACTCCTGTTCGCGATGTAGAGGACTTATGATTTCTACATGATCTGTGTTTTGTTATTAATAAATTAGTTTTGTTTATTACCCTTCAATCGTTTAATGCAGGTACTAACTCTGTCAGTTTTTAAAAATCTGTTTTTTTTCAAATCTGTTTTTTCGTTAACCAGCTGTCGCACCCCTACGAACGACAACCCTCAGAAGTCGAAACTTGTGCGAGCTAAGGATTAACGAGGTCTTACCTTTCAACGTGTGATTCCTAACAAAATAACAATAAATCCAATTCGCATTTTCGACGATGTATCTCTGTAGTTGTTCGTAAAATAATGTTTTACTGCGAACTGGTTTATTTTGGGCAAAAAACCCACGAGACATTTTTTTGTTTAGAATGAAACAGGCTATCGGAAATGAATTTTTAAATGGTAAACAAATAATAAAACATTATATTGGAAATACATTTTAGGGGTTGCGTTTTAAATTACTGGCTAAGTGTCTTTTTGGTAGTACAAAACGTCAGGTTAATTTCAATATTGTTACTTTTTCAGTGTTTGTGAAAAAAATTGTTATACATATTTTATGCTCCAATGAAGTTTCTTTATATGAATGATCCTATCTTTTTTCGATGAGGAATCACCTCGTTAAATGTTTTACACTCATTCAATTACACCCTGTATATCAATTACATATTTTTATAGATAATTCATTACATAAAAATCCTCACACCAGTCACAAAATATTATTATTGATGTTTCACATCTGCCAGGCGTCCTGTGACGGGTCGCATATTTTTTATTGGTGGTATTTTTTTCTTCTACAACAAAAAATCTCAAAGTTCTCCGTCTAATGTGAATTGAAAACGACATACACAGTGACGTCGAAAGGTTTTTTCCTGAACTGGTATGACCTGATTTCTACTTCAAATGCAGTAAATGGTTTTCGAAATGTGCATCTAATTGTTGGCACTTTCCAAATCTGCTAATTTTCTTTCGAGTTGGAGAGAGAATAGTCGTCTCGTAAAGTGAATCAATTGTTAGTTCGTGAATAATCCATAGCAATTTGATGTTCTCATGATATTCGTTTTTGGTTGATTCTTGGAAGATAGTTTCTTAAATATTATTTTCTTTCAGAAGAATCTGTACTTCTGTTTAAATGAATTCCACGTCTTCACACGAATGTTTCCATGATATGGTTGCTATCGTTTGTAGTTGTCTGATAAATCACTAGAGAGTTTTGAAGAACTGAAAGATTACTATTCAAATGATTATAATTAGTTCTACTCATTGAATCAACAGCTATTGTGATTGCTGAGATGGTAAGTATTCACTACGCGTCGTTTACCTCGTACTAGTACCTCGTGAAAAGTAGAGCTTAATTAATCCTTCGCTTGAACAAACTTCTAGTTGAGATAGTTGAGAAGATTTGACTACGAAATATTAATTGAGACCAGCATGCTACCTCTTAAATATAAAAACCAAGCGTGTGTCTTACCTTCATACCTNACATACCGTTAAACTGAAGAAATATATATATTGATTGATATTTCGGAGAGCATATGACATGCTCCAGTTTCAGATGAAAACTACGACTTTGTAGGTAAGTGTGGCAGTTATCCGACGGAAATACAACAACCCAATCAACATAGGCTGGTTGTTTGGAAAATAACTACCACAATTTCAGACTATCACCATCAACTATATTCGGTGAAGGTTATTTTTTCACGAGCACGTGAATTTTTTTCCAAATTTTTCACCACTATTTGCGAGCAAATTGACAGTTATGTGGAGACTCAAATTACGTCTCAAAAAAGGTGTAACTGGACCTATGCAAGGAAATAGTTTCGAAAGAGTTATTAGTCTGAATAACAGTATGTTGTAGTAGGAGTGAAATATTATATGCAAGGAAATAGATTTTCAAATATAAAAATTAAGCTATGAGAGAATTTTCTGATTTCACTTCTATCATGAAGATGCTGATTTTATTCTATCATAGGTTTACACATTTTATTTTTGCCACATAGTGACCCACCAGAAGAAACTAAACTGTGTCGCTACTGACTGAAGGGAAATGGCGTCGAATATTATCTGACGTTATCTGGTATAAACAGTCCGAACCAAATGGAAGTGCTGATTAAGGAGTTTCTAATATTTCAATTGCATCAAGTTCAGTAAATTCTCAGTACGAACTGTATCAGGAAGATAAAATCATTTATAAGTGATGATAAACGGTTTACTTCGCAGATAATGGTGGATTTTAAAATTGTTGCTGAAACCTTCTCAAAGTAAAACAACTGTATAATTCACAGTGAGTACCTATTCTGAAAAGTTTCTTCATTATTCTATTTATAGTTCCACGATGTACTTAAGTATTTGTTTATTGTTTATTAACTTTCATATAAGTCATTGCCGATTTCTTTATCATCGACTGATACAGTGGCATATGACAGAGGAGGGCAGGTGAACTCCAAAGTTGCCAAATATTAAATAACCCTGAATATAGCATTTAGTGAAACAGTAAAGAAATACTGTGCTTCAAATTTTTTTTCATATGAAAAATGTGTTCGGTTAACAAAATAAACACTAGGTCTCAAAGCCCATATAGCCAATTTTGCATATTAAAGTATGCATTACGAATTTGAATTAGTCGAGATAACTTGAAATTATTGTTTCATTTCCTTATTGAAATGTTTCAAATTGAATATTTCTTTGAGATTTTTCTAGGGATCGTTCTATAATTTCTTCCATAATATGTATAAAATAATTTTGAAAAACAGTTTTATAAAAAAAATTAGAAGTGGTCCTCGATCTAGTATCTTTTGGAAGTTGTAGATTCGATAAATCAAATCAAATCATTTTATTGATCCTGTAGAACCTACAAAGTTATAGGATAGGTTAAATAGCATTTTGTACATGTATATAAAATAATAAAATCAAACCAAACATACATGAAAGATTGTCATATGCATACAAAACATATCAACTTCATTCAACTCCAGCTTCATTGAATTAATGTAATAGTGAAATAAAATTCGGTAGTTTTCAATGAGTCGGGCAGTTTGTTATAAAGTAGCTCCAAGTAAGAAGGTGAGTTAGCGGTTATATTATATTTGACAGGATTTATGTAAAAATCATTGCACTTTCTTGTATTTACATTATGGAAAGATGAAAAGCGACCATATTTCGACCTATTGGTGTGAATGTATACATGCACATTTCAAAAATGAAAATATCTGGGAAAGTTAGAAATTTCGAATGTTTCTAAAAATATCTGCAGGATGTTCCCTGATTAACGCCTGCTAAAATCCGTATAATATTTTTTTGGGCATTAAATACATTTGGAGCCAGTGAAGAGCTTCCCCAAAAACAAATGCCATATCTGATTCTAGATTCTATATGTGTACCAAACCCCTTAGTTTGAACCAATTTTGGATAAGTCATCTCAGTGAGAACTGGTATATCCCAAAAACATTTCATTGATGAATATGGATTGTATCAGTTGAAGTCCTTTTACTGAAATCGTATAATGGTTGAGTTATTCAAGGGAACTAGTTCTGAGTGATGGCAATTTTGTATTTTTGTCTTTATGACATGACATAAAATTTAAAGAAAAACTCATGAAGATGAGAAATGCTTGGCGGAAAATTAACCTCAAGTCAGTGGTCGATATTGGAAAAGCAGATTAGTTTGTTTGGTCATGTAATCTCAAATAGGATGATTCAGCAGAAATCCAGTAGTGAAAAACTGACTTTGTTCTCGATTATGACAGAAACGAACTCAATATAAACGATCCCTTTGACCCCAGTAACAAAAGAAGGAGCCATTTTAGCAGAACCTTGGCCAAATCAGCTTTTTGCTATACAAACTTTCTTCGAACGCTACTACAGCTACTTATTGAAACTCCGTTCCATCATTGAAGTTATTAACAGTGCCCTTCCATGGATCACAAACTTGAAAGAATACATTCGTGACAGGATTGCTAGTGAGTTGAGATGCAGTATCGAGATCGGTTCACAAACAGCAATGAATGTACGTTCGATGACACAAACTGCAAGTGATACGTGATACAACTGTGAAACCGTAGCTATGGACTGCAACTACCGATCACAGATGAAACAAGAACAAAATACAAGAACGATCATGAAGCTGAAGAAGGTTCATAGCTGGAAAGAGTTTTGCTCAATTGGTAATACAATTGTTAACGGTTACTGAGATCTCCTGTTCCTATGCGAAAAGCTATTGTATCAAGAGTAGGACATTGATTGGTCAATCCTTAAATCCTATTAAAACTGATGGTGAGAAAAATACATGAAAAAATGAAATAGAAAATTTAAAACTCAGCTACCTCGTGGCTTTGCGATTATTATAAAAATATTTAACAACAATAAAAATTCTTCATGAAGATATGTTGTGTATACACAGAAGTTTCTTTCGGAAACAAACTGGAAGGAACATCATTTCAAAAAAACTACTTTTATATAAATAATAAATTACAGAAAAGAAAATCGTTTAAAAGAACTGCTCTCATACGAACATTGTAATCACTTTCTCATTCAGCTTTCACTACAAACGTTCATTATAGAAATAGCTCAAGAAAAATTGAAAATTATTACAAACGCATGCCATTTCGAGTATTGTTGTTTTTCTCAATGGTTTTCCGTAAATCCGTAAAATCCGTTGATACGATAGGTTGCCTTTTATGTTTCGGGATTTGGCAACCCTATTGCTGCAATCTGGCAACTGACAGCTTTATCGTAAAATTGGACAATTTTGAGCTTATACGTACTCAGAACGTTTTGATAATACTCGCGAGATTTGTGTTGTTTACAGTAACTTAAAAGATTCGTCTTGGTCCAAAAATGGAATCAAATCGTGAACATTTTCGTGCGATTATTTTTTACAACTTTCGACATGGATAAACTCAGCAACAGTACATGGTAAACTTAATTCAATTTTCGGTGATGAAGTTCCATCAAGGACCAGTGTTTATCGTGGGTATGGTGAATTCAATCGTGTTAGTAGTTCACTCCAAGACGAATTTCGTGAATGTCGTCCAAAATCAGTTGTTCCGAAAAACATTAATGCTGTGCGCGAACTAATATTGCAAGATCGTCATGTGACCTATCGTGAGATTGAGACAACCTTAGGCATTGGTGGGACCAATATACATTCAATATTGCATAAACATTTGACTGTCAAAAAAATTTATTCGCGTTGAATCCCATGCAATTTGTCAATTGCTCAAGAAAAGGTTCGTGTCGATTGATCGTAGGAAATGCTCAAAAAATACGACCGCGGTGCTCCGAAACACGTCTATGACATCGTGAAGAGCCTCAGGGCAAATGTCTTAAGGGGAAACATCGGTGTATACCAGTGAGGGTGACAGTGTTCCATGTGAGTACAATTTATCACCATTCATTCAAAGTAGAACTCATGTGAATGATATCTGATTTTTATTCCACAACAAATGTTTGAAATACAAATTGAGTAAAGTATCTTCTGTATAATTCAGTGTTCATATAGAAGTATTTGTTTTGAAAGAAATTTTTTTCTTTCGTGTAATTCAATGTTTATATGAAAGTAGCTGTTTCAGGAGGACTTTCTTTCAGTTTGTGTCTGAAAGCTGCTTCTTTGCATGATCTACATATCCATGTATAGAGTTATTTATTTTCAAATTGATTACTTTCTTCCTTTCTTTGGAAGATTCTCTCATCTCCTTTTTTTGTATCAGATGGAGTAGTAGAAAGCCAAAAACTTTCTTTCCCAAAAAAATAATCACGCCTAAAAATATAAACTTTTCAATTCAAATGTATAAATCTTCATGGGAAATATTTTGAAAAATCGTAAAGTGATTTTTATTTGTTTTTGTTCTCTAATCCCGAAATATAAAAGACAATAATTATCATTATCTGAAGGGTTGCGCCAGTCGATTCCTATCACCAACCTCCGACACATACAGTTTGTCGACATTACCAATCAATAACTACTTCCCACACCGTATGGTGAGTGACCATTGAGACCGAGAATCATGTGCCCTAAGACACAATGAACCCAAAATGACTACCTTCTGCATATGTTCTGCCATACTGATGCACACTAAAATGACCTTGAAATTGGAGAGTAGACAGGGTGTCATTCCACCAATGCCTTCAACATTAAAAAAATCATTTGAACTGTGTAGTCTAGATAAAGACTGAGTGCTCGAAGAAAAGATCAAGATATCTCATTCCTTATTTTTACTCTTTTCGAAAAATATTCATCACATCCAGAGCTTGAGTAGGGCGAAAGTTTCAATGAATTCGGCACAACTAATGACCACTCCACAGACCGGGGGCTTAGAATCATTTGCCATAAGCGAGCGCAGTGAGGCAAGAATGACAACCTTCTATATTTGCCCGGCCAAGATTTTTGTCTCAGTGCAACAAGCTGGTATGATCCTAAGATTCGAGAGTAGAGATGGCATCATTCTACCAAGGACTCTAATAATCGAAGCAATCATCTTGACAGAGTGGTCTGAATAGAGTCTTTTCGTACAATATTCGTCTCATCAGGCGCTGAAAACTACACGACAAATGTCATCTTGCTCTGATGGTCGAGAAGAACTACACCTGGATTATACGCTTGTGTGAGCCTGAGAATGGGGAATGAATGGTTCCGATAAATTCGGCACTTTTCGTTTCTGAAAATGGATTCAATATCCCCCAGAGCACTCTCAGATCCTGAGAACTCTTAGTGCCGCATTGTGTCTATGGATTTAAGCTGAGACTGCATATACTGGGCATACTGACAGCAAATTCATTAGGGTTTAGGCGCATTACGGCAGGTCCTGCACCTCATGTCGGAAACCTCTATATTCATCACACGACTGCAGTAGAATAAGATGTTGAAGACACCATCCTGGCAGGCCATGATGAACCCCTCAGTTTCCGACTTCAGCCCACTCGACCTGAGGAAGGCAAACGTAAAGCGCTTTGAAGAATCTAAATCTTTAATATTCATTCAAAAAACACTTCATTTTGAGGTTTTCAATATTGTTGAAAAAAATCCCTTATAAGTGGCTCATCCTTGTGTTGCCGCAGGAGTAAAGTGATATATGTATTTGGCTCTCATATGGGCTTATTGCCGGGCGGATTTCAACTCGGTGACAGATTAATCTCCTCGTTCAGTGTCGAAAACAATACCTATTCCATCAGCCACTTGAACAGCTGCCCAAAAGAAGAATGCTCCAATTTTCGCCCTTTCATGGTAGCGGGCATGAGAGGGCAGGATCCGAGCTTCTGATGTCTCAACAGGCTGCATTGTCGAGTTGATACACTTTCTCTGGAGTCCATTTCAATACTCCAAACGAGTAGAGTGGGATTGGAAGGGCGAGCATATTCGTAGCAGTGATATTTTTCTTCTCCAACAGTTCCAATGAGCAGATCTCTCAGAGTTTGTGCTGATAATTTTCACGGAGAGAGTTCATCACTGCTGTTACTTCTTGTGGCGTTGCTCCACCCGAGGTAAGTATACGTCTCTCCAGCATCCAGATGATGCCGAATTCTTTCATCTACGAGATGTACATCTCTTTTGAGATGGACCGTTGCACATTTATTTATCCCGAATATCATACCGATAGCAGGCGTATACTCTTCCACCATCCTCAAGGACCACAGGCATAAAGTGTAAGGTATTGCATATAAAACAAATGGATGGCGCAACGTTTAATGGCAATGGTGATATGCAGAACTGAAATACACCCATTCTGGAAGTAACCAACCCTGTTGGGACTCTAGCCCAACCAAATGTTATGATGAAGCGAGTCCGTCAGTTGATCAAAGCATTTCACTATTTTGTTGGGTACCGCAAGGCATCTGACTGGATGCATAATGAGTTCAGGCGATGTTGTATCAAATGCCTTACGGTAATCGTTCCAGGATAGACAGGTTACGCCTGCGTTACACATCTACCTATAAACAGATTCCCTTTGCATCTAGTGACTCATGTTTCCGACCCTCTTTGCTCATATATCCGTTCGAATACTGTCAACTACGGTGAGTATTCTTGTGTATAAGATGCTCCTAAACAACTTATGGCACGAATTATAGCATGTAGTTCTTTGGCATCAACGAATCTTCGCAAAAATTCATATAATTCTTTGACTCATCAATTTCCATGCTGACGTTTATAAATAATTGACTGAATTATAAAGCTATTTTTTCACGGAAGAGATAAAATCTTGATTGCCAGTAAAGTCATCAGAACATGAAGTATACGCTTCATGCTCCTGAAAAATGTTTGCATACTCACTAATGACAGCCACTAATTTATCCATCTTAAGCTTTATTCTTCTGAATATTTGTATATACAAATTTTTCATTTACAGGTAAAATGGGAAATGTGCTGCGAAAGTCAGAAATTAATGAACCACATGGAGAGGCTGATCGGAAAAAAAATATTGGAAAGGATCCATTACAAAATACTCAGCTACACGGTTACCCCAAAAGAAAAGCTTCCAGTGAAAAAGAAGCAAATCAAATATGTAATGCTAGTCGTTCAGCAGCGTCTGTTAGAAAAGAGTCCACTTCTCTTGTAAACAGTCATCAAAAATCTACAAAGGAAAATATGACCAAAAAAAAATCAGATACCAACAGTGATACTCTCATCGATTTACAACAAATTTGTACCAGATTGAATTCTGTCAAAAGAAGTATGAAAAATAACAATTTGACTACTGCACAGAGGAATGAAATAGACAAAACACTGGAATTATCTGAGAGTTTGATTCAAGAAATTCGTCATTCTATGTATGCATGTACCCTATCAAATTCAAATGTTTCTGAGTCAATCCAATCTACAAACGTTCCCACTGAATTGGAACATCTGATAAATAAAAAAGTAGTTCTCAATGGCGAACTGAAAGAGATAAAGCATAAAATAATCATTTTGGAGAAATCTTCTGTGAAGTGTTATGAATCACAAGACCATGACTCGTATAAAATGATTCGGAAAATATGTTCACTTTTCCAGAAATGTCTGCCGGAAAACAAAGCAATAGGAGCGACTGAACGAAAAGATATATTGAAAAAAATTTCTGAAATATCAGAAAGATTGGAAAAAAAATTTGATCAGCAAAAAATTGAAAATAAAAATTCAGATCAGAATCAAATAGTGAAAGTGGATTATGTTGAAACTGATGGAAGCAGTTTTTGTCAGAATTTTTCGAAATTGTCAATAAAACCTATAGAGAGTGAAATAGTTCAATGTGATATCAACAATCGTTGTGAAGATAAATGGAATGAAAAGAAATCAAACGAAGATGAAAGGATGCAAAATGCAAATGAATATGAGAATGGGTGTATGGCTGATCAAAAATATGATCCCAAATTTTGTGAACTAGATGAAATGTCAAACAAACTTGAAGATAGTAACAATGTAAGAAGAAGTATACATAAGAAAAAAGAAACTGTAATCAAAGAGCAACCTCAAGATTCAGATCATTCTGCTGAAAAAAGTTCTGATTTCAAAATCAGAAATGGAAATCAACAAGAAGTATCTGATTCTCAAAGTGAACACAAAGTCACTCAAGAAGCAATTTCAATCAGAGAAGTAGGTCTTGATCAATTGAAAGAATCAAATTATATCGACACTGATCAAAATAATCTAAATAAAGTGTTCTCTGAATCAGAGTCAAGTTCTGTAGAAGTTGAGATACTCTCAAAAGTTGAGCAAATCAGTTGCCGCAGAAACAAAACAAGCAATGAAATGAAATTGAAACAAATTGAAAAGAGACGAGATGAAATCAAATCCGAAATCGATTCTTTCATAGGAATACCTACTGATCCAAAATTCTACGAATTGAAAGAATATTCCGTCCGTTTACTTTTGGAGATGGATGAGTTGTCTTTTCCGAAAGGCAGTGAACTGCACAGTCGAAAAAGAGAACTTCTCCAAGAAGTATACAAATATACCGATATTCTGGAAAAGAAAGCAGAAATGTTCCGATTTGTGAAAACTATAGAAGATCACATCCGTTACTTCATTGAAAATTTTGATCAATTTAAAATATCAAGAGATGATTTGAAGGGTATAGGAAAAAAATTGAATCATTTCAAATCGGAACTGGACAAATTAGATCCGGAAAAGAATTTGGAAGATAGGAAACAAAGATGCATTGAACAGATAAATAGCTTGAATAAGGCTGTATGTGAAGAATATCGGAAAATTCGTGCTTTGGACCTTACGAGTTTGGAAAATATAGAAGATCGCATCAGTTACTTCAATAGAAATTTCGATCCATTGGAAAAATCAGAAGAAAATTTGAAGAAGGTAGAAAATACATTGAATTATTTCGAATCTGTCTTGAACAAATTAGATCCAGAAAATTATTTGGGAGATAGAAAACGAAGATGCATTGAACAAATAAATAACTTGAAGAAGAATGTGGGTGAAGAATATAGGAAAATGCGTGCTTTGGAACTGACGAGTGAGACAAAAAATATTGATACAGATGAAATTGTGGTGCATGTAGATAAAAAACAGAATTTGTCGGAAACTTTGTCAAATGAAACAAACGAGCCCATCTACAGTGCTGACACAAAATTATCTAATGAAATTCATTCAGGGTCGCAGCAGTGCCATCTTACTGAAAATGAGTTGAATGAAACCATTCAAACAATGGATACAATATCTATTGAAAATCAGCTAGGGAAATTCCCAAGCAGAACTGAACAAGAACACGTTCAGAATGTCTCCAAAGTTGAGGTTAGCCACTCCAATCCCTCATATCAAGTATTTGATGTCAGGGAGACACATTCAATTGAAAATGTAGAAATAAATGCATCGAATACATCTGAAGTTGTTGATAATCCCTCAGTAGAAATTCTCACTGAAGTAGAAAAAGAGGCTACTGAAGCTATTTCAAAAATCCGCTTATTCGATGAGTACGACGCTAGAGAGGATTATCGATTGATGACAGATTTTCTGTTGAATCTATCAAAAAAATTGGAGCAAGTCAAAATTGACAATATCGAATCCGATAAAAGAATAAATGAATTGAAATGTTCTATACAGAATGTAATCATTTATGTGGAACAAGAAATGTCAGCACTGATGAACATTAGCTTTATAGAAAGTGAATTATGGCGACATTTCGAAAATATTGATAGTATTACAGGGGAAAATATAAATGAAATAAGAGATTATGTGCTATATTTATCGGATTTACTTTGGAAAATTACTTGCCAAAACAATGATGGTCGTCGAAGAATAATGAAGTGTTACAATGATATTCAGTTTTTTTTTGAAGAAATTGATAGAAAAACACAAATACTATATCAAAGCATCGAAACCTGAGTGAAATTGATTCCTATTGAAAAACACCACCTTCATTAATCTTATGTTACCACCTGAAGTTGAACTTTATAACATTTCAGTCACTATTTGAAATAAGAATATTTGTTTGTTAACCACTATATTTCAGCCACTCCCAATAAACTTCAAATAACAAAATCAATTCCGAATATATTCAGTTCCTTTCCCAGTTCTTACTTCGTAATTTTGAACAACATACCGTTAAACTGAAGAAATCACCCTCAAATAAATGGAAAATTATTTTTTGAATGAGTTTACTAGGGCAATCTAATTCTCTTTCTGGATGAGCAATCATCTTGAGATGCAGGACATTGACGTGAATCGATTTTTCCAAAGTACCTGACACAAACGTACCAAGATGAAGACAACACAGAGATGACAGCCAGTTTAGTCTTAATATTTGTGTCCGACAGTGTTTTCTGTTCTTCATGACATCAACAGTTCTCGATATCACTTCCAAAATATTCAATGCCTATCGTACATTATTATAGAAAGAGTTGGAACCTTCCAAAGGGAGAAAGAAAGAAATTGACTTAAAGACAATGTATGGATCATGCACAATTTTTTTTCAAATACGACCTGATAGAAAATTTCCAACCAAAATAACTACTTTCGAATATATGAACATTGAATTATACAAAAGTCAATTTTTTCCATACAGTTTTTATTCCAAAAATTAGTTAGAGAATTGAAACAGATATAATTTGTGAGACACTACAAATCGTAATATGTGAAAGATTATGAACATTTTCATTGTCAGGTAGATCTCCAAAAATTTCGAATGTCTCCGAATCCTCAGCATTACTTTATAAATTATTCGAAAAAAATCAATCCCTCTTGCAATATATTTCCTTTCTGATTCAATCAAAATTTCAGTGGTTGAAATTGAATTGATTAATTTCATAAATGCTTTTATTAACTCATCATCGTTACAAGAGCAAAAGTGTCTTTTGCGATCACATAAAGTACAAATTTTCAGAATACCGGAAATTACTCTTTCAATTATTGAAAAGATGCTGATGAGAGGAGTCTAAACTCTGAAAGGTCCACCTGGAAATTGAAACTCTTCCATGTGAGTGAAATTTTACATCAGTAGTTCTTTATACAGGTCGCTCCAGCGAAAACTTGACCCCCATGTAAGTCAGAAACGGACGTGTAATCGAAAATTTCAAAAAACACGTCAATTTTTATTTCTAGGGGACTAATTCTGATGTGAAAATCATACCCGAAACTTCACCCCCCTGCGGTCAGCATTTACCCCCCTCCCTATTTTTTCAATGGTATGGAAGTCGAGTGATACATCATTTGAAAGGTCTTTCGTCCCTTTATAACTTTTGTAATTATTTTCGAAATTGGTTTATTCGTTATTGCGAAATTGAATTTTGAACAGTTAATGGATAAGTTTAGAACTTCAGGTTCTGTTCACAACAGAAAACATGAAGTATCTCGTCCTGTCAGAAATGACTGAGTTAAAGTTGCAGTAGTTAGAGCGTCTGGTATCAGCTACTCATGTTTTTGAGATTTTAAAAGCCTACTCATTCCATCCTTTCAAAATAAGGCTAGTTCAGGAATTAAACGAAGATGATCCTGATCGTTGACTTCAGTTTTGTGAGGTGTTCAGCGAGAAACTGACCAATAACCCAAACCTTTTATACAATACATGTTTTTCAGACGAAAGTTCTTTTATGTTGAATGGTAAAGACAAAATTGTTGTTATTGGAGCGTTGTGAATCCTCATTTGGTGATGAACACTCCACAAAAATTGAATGTCTCCTCCAAGATTCTTGGTAATCATTCATCCATCCTTCATTTAAGGTAATCTTAATGAAGACACATACTTAAATCTATTACAAAACTGTGTAGCTCCTATGATTACACAAATTCTACAAAATGATGACAATTCAGTAGAAAACGAAATATCATCCCAGCAGGATGGTGCATCCCCACATTTTGATGTTCGGGTGAGACAATTTTTGGACAAACCTTTTTCATTGCGTTGGATCGGCAGAAGGGGTCTAGTGGAGTGGCCAGCTGTGTCACCTGATCTCACACCGATGGACTTCTTTCTGAGGGGACACCTGAAGTCGAAAGTGTACTTCACTAAGCCTACAAATTTGAAAGACCTGGGAAAGAGAATTGTTTGGGAATGCCGATTGCTGACTCCGGACATCTTGAATAATGACGGAACGCTTTCGAGAGTTGACTGTACTAGTGCATGTAACTAAGGTGGAGGTCATTTTGAACAATTCATTTTTCGATTCTGTTTCCACTGATATTATTTGTTGTTGATTTTCTCATTGAAATGAACGACAGCGAATATTCTGTTTTTTCTTAAATAAAATGTTCATCATTCAATTTCTCAATAACGAATGAACCAATTTCGAAAAAAATTACAGAGTTGATAGAGGGTCGAAAGACCTTTCGAATAATGCATCATTCAACCTCCCGTGACGTTCATAAAGATAGGGAGATAGTTGCTGACCGCAGGGGAGTGAAGTTTCGGGTATGGGTTTCATATCTGAATTTGTCCCCCTAGAAATAAAAATTTACGTGTTCTTTGAAATCTTCGATTGGGTACATGTCCGTTTCTGACTTACAGGGGAGGTCAAGTTTTTGTTGGAACGCCCTGTATATTACGTTGTGTAGCGTTGTTGCGAATGATATTTGTTCTAATCCCATAACGAATATTTAGTGTACACACTGAATAAGAAAAAATGTAACTTCAGTGTTTTTCAATGTTCATATGTTTGAAAGTAGATGTTTGGATTCCAGTTTGTATTATAATGAAACAGCTGTGCATGGTCTACAAGGAAGTGTAGATTTATGAAGAGTTTTCATTGAAGTCAATTACTCCCTTTGTTTTTTTTTGTATCTCACTTTTTTTGTGCAATGATGGAGAAGTAAAAAGCCAATTTTTTTGCAAAAACAATTCACTCCTGAACATATTTTTTCCACCCCATAATAATATTCCCTCATACATTTTCCCTTGAAGGTGGCTACAATGTCAAATTTTGCCCGCACAGTATATTTCAGTTCCCATCCTCTGTTTGGTTTTCAGCATGCTGTTGTTTTTGCTTAACATGTTTTCGAACTAACTGTTCATCGTCCACTGTTTAACTCATAAAGTTTATGATCTGTTCGAAATCTGTTTTGAAATCTGTTTTTCCGTTAACCAGCTGTCGCCCCCTGACGAACGACAACCCTCAAAAGTGGAAACTCACACAGCGGTCGATGGAGTGAATACAGAATAATTCCAGAACGAGCACTGTTTTCAAACATCATAACTGAAACCCTATTCTTGGAGTGCGTTTCACAAAACATGCTGGCGTCTTCAGGAAGTGAAGAAGACTGGTGGTAGTCTATTGTATCTCTTGAAGATGCTTACCTTTTTGTTGAAACGCGCGTCGAGAAGAGTTTTACAGTTCTGGTGTTTGGGAAGAGTGCTTGTTCTCCACATAAAGTTTTTGTTCAAATTGGTCTTCGATATCATGCTGTGTAAAAACATATTTGATGTTGGTTCTTCTACATATTCAAACGTCTTATTCAAGAAAATGTTGATAACTTCAGTGCTCGAAAATTAGTTCAGTAAAAAGTTTTATTTGAGAAAGTGGTACTTATGTTGATTTTTTATCCGTATTGAGTACTTAGTGCACTGTAAAATTTGGAACATATGATGTTTCCAACAGAATTTCTTATTATCTTGAAATCAAAGATTTAACTATATCATTTCTGTTGAAAAAGAAATAATTTTTTTTTGTTGATCTTGATTTAAACCGGGGATTCACATCGACGGAGAATGATACCTACATCTGGAATTGATATACCAATTAACTTTTTTACAAATTGAATTATAAATCTCAGATGTCACTGATATTATGATTACTTATATGATACTGATATATAAAATAAATTGTGCGATATTACTGAGGATTTAAAATTGGAAATGACGTTCATAACACGATATCAAAGTAAGTACTCTTCCAGCTTATCATATTCAAAATTTGAGTTGATAGTGAAATGAGTGATAATGAAAGTAAATTCGATTTCTTCAGATCAATCACAGTTATAATCTAGCACAATTTGGAGCTCAAAATCTTTTGCAAACAGTAGCAGTAAATTTATGGTTCCATGGGATCAGCCGGCTCAAAAAAAATGGATCCAGTGAGTAATAAAAGCTATTTAATCCGGAAAGGCATATACTTTATATTTCTGAGAGAGGATATTCACAATGGAGTTCGTAGTGAAGATTTACACTTCCTTGAAGAGAAACGACAAGAACTGAAGGCGTTGATACGAGAAGTAGAACATTTCCAGAGAAATGACAACCTATCCAAAAAAGTCATTTTACAAAGTGAGAGATTGTTGTACAATTTTCGAAAAGAACTGGAAATTATTGATTATGGGTTGCCACCTCAAACGAGGTCAGTAGGTATCAGCAGAATAGGAAATAGTTCAAACAGATATGAAGAAATATATGTTACAGAATCGGAGTACTCAAACTTGGAGGAAACGAGTGACGAATATCAAAATGAACGTCCATTTTCCAACGAATCCTCAAGAATTCCCATACCAGCGCCCAGAAATAAAGAAGAATTGTTACTTAAAAATATTCCAAAATGGTTCGGAAGATTGAAAGACATTTCTGGGAGAACGTTCATCGATGAACAGGACTACAAAGAAGCTAAATTGTGTGTAACAAAAATCGAGGAAGTACAGAAATTGTTCACAAGCAAGTTGGATGTGATTATCGAGAAGTATGCAACCCAGGATACAGACGAATACGTGGAAGTGTATGAAAACGTGTCACCTTGATCATTGTTTTTACAAATTTATCTAATCTACAGTAGTAAATCATGAAGCCTGATAAGATTGTATGTTTCAACATTCCTATGTTTTTATTCAGTTAGCGAACACACAAAGTATTCACGTCATTTTCTATAGGTACGTGATTTGAGTGAGTGCAATCCACATAAAATGAATAAGAATTTGTCAGCTGTGACAAGTTTTACTAGACCTTTCAGTTTTCTACCAATAATTGTAAGTTATTACATGAAATATTTCAAGTTTTCTTTTCAATTACTCATCTCATTCCATTGCAGATAGGCAACCAACATTACAGTGTATTAAGAAACTGAAGATAACACAGTTAAACAAACCAAAGCTAAAATGTCTAAAGGGCAGCTCAAAACCAACTTGTTGAATCTAACAAAATTCAGAAGTGATGAACCAGGTGAAATATCATCTCCAAAAGTTTCTCGAAGACCTTATCAACAAACCAACATGAAAATAACTCAAAATGAAGTTGAAGAGAAACTTAAAAATATGGAGCTGAAGAGAATAAGTAGGCTTGGTGTGTCCATGGTCGACCAGAGTAATCTCCCGGGAGGAAAGCACACGATGGAAGAAGGGCGTGAAGTATCGAACGTTATTGGTTTTGGCGTAAACGAAATGAAGACTCCTTTCAAACATGCAGTTGAAGAAGATACTCGTCAAAACAAAGTATCGAAAACAGAATCAACAGAAGTACAAACCGGGAGAGAAATGGCTAGGAATAAACCTTCTAGTACGAAAAAATTTATAAACAAATTCAATTGCGTTGTAAACACAGATGTGATAGCTTCTGGTGGATATGATGAATTGGAAGAAGATGTTTATTCAAAACGTAATGATATGGAACAGAAAAACCCGATTGTTATTGAAAAAGAAAACGATTCGAGTGAATCTCAGTTGAAATTCATGAATGCCTCCATACAATCAAACTCAAGTGAAGGAAAAACAGTCGCGATTGAAAGAACAGAAGCAGTGCCTCCGGACCTGATTCTAACAACTTCTGGTCCCTTCAAAAGTAACGTGGAGACAACAAAACTGAAAATGGATAGTGCAATATCAAAAGTATCCACTAAAGTAAGAGATATTGTGGAAGAACAAAACATTAGCTCAGGTGTTGTTCATATTGACGATCAGAAAACACCTGTTGGAAAGGAAGTATTCAGACAGAAGCAAAAAAAATCAAATATCCAGCCATACTCTAGTGACTCATCTGAACCTATTCGGGGCCCACTACCCTCATCAAGAGATTTCACTCGACAGGAGAAAGTATTCAAAAAACTCCAACGGAGCTGTAAAAGTATTGATGAAATTTTTAAAGACAATTCAGTTGTTGACTTGGATGAAATCGATGACTTAAAAAACACTTTGGACGAAGCAAATGTTCTTTTGGCAGAATATCAAAGTAAACTGAAGGTGCTAGAAGAGAAAGTGACTAAATCATACGATAAGCAAAAACTGTGTGCTTTGAAATCCAAACTGAAAGAAGTGAAAGACGATATTCAAAATTTCAGAGGTTTGAAGAGGGATTCAAAGTTTATCCAACTTTGTACGATATTATCCAACTTTTACTTGGATATCAACAATGTTTATAATAAATTTGAACCAGGAAATGTACGGAAGGAGCTGCTTAAAGAAGTTGACATATGTATAAAGGATTTAGAAGTCAAAGCAACAAGAAATGAAGAAACTCTGTTTGAAATACTCACTGATCAAGTGAAATCTATTGGAAATAAACATTTGAGTTCCATCAATAAATAGTTGTGTTGGTTAAGTATAAGTGAAGTTCAGAAATCATTTGAAATCCATGTGAAAGGCAAGTTAAAAAAGGTGAAGTTCATATTTGAAGCGTTATTTTGAACGAATGTATAGCTCACATGGAACCTTCTTTCAAGTTCTCCTCCATACACTGCTGGCAGTTGGAAATATATATCACGTGATGTTGGTAAAGACTAATAGACTCTGTATAATCCACTCCGTACCAACTAAATTTTACAATTCAACACGATATTATTTATTTTCTTATTCATAACTAATAATTTATAATAGTGGTTAATATATTTCAGATGAATCTCATTGAGATAAAAATAACGACTGAATAAAATATTTTTATATTTTTGCGTCAAAAAATTTCTTGCGAATGGAAAACTGTAAGTACGTATGATAGTTTTCTCCGGTATATATCCGGTATATATCATTTGAAAAGCTGTATTATTTTTGTGGAAGAAACGTCCACACTAAAATGGAAGTTGAAGTATAACAAAATATTGAAGTTTTTTTGTAGATTCCCACAGATGACAGTTTCTCATTCACATGTATTTTTTAACTGCCTAGAGGGACTACTTTCAGCTTTTCATTCTCTAGCGTTGTTTACAAATGCTATCCTTCTATTCTCTAACATTCAACAAAAAACTTTGAGAAACCTCATTTCAAAAAACGAAATTATATTTTTTTTTTCATTATTATAACTATTTTCTGCTACTTTTTCAGTCGATAAATCAACAAGTATACATGAATAGTAATTAGTTAAAGATAGAAATCATCAAATATCCTCTCAACGATTTTCTGTCCATTAAAAAAATCTGTTGTATTTGTTTTTCCTTCAAACAGCTGTCACCACTCGACCCGACTTGTGCGAGCAAAGGATCAACGAGGTGTTACCTTTCAGCGTGTGATTCCTACCATTTGAAATAGGCCTTTTCATCATAAGACGAGCGCAAGCGTAGCTGTCATATTGAAATGGCGGTAATTCAAAACATTCGTACTGTTTTATTCTACAATGGCTGGGCAAGGAATATTATCTCTACAAACAAATGAATTATTGTAAAAAACCATTGATGATGCTTCACTTGTTAATAATTCAGTTGAGGCTCATAATTGTGAACAATTCAAAAGGTGGTTAAAACGTCATGTGCGTCCGCAAAAAAGAAAAAAAGTTAACTGATTGAGATGTTAGGTATCAGCATTTGTTTACTATCTAAAAACATATGAAAAAAATAGTATTTGCAGCTTCATTCTTATTAATAATGTCAATTTATTTGGTGTAATTGAAAATATATTTCAGTTGACAAAAGTATCACTTATGGAACTGATAAATAAAGCAAGCCATTAATATTTTGAGGCTGTACATATGACATTATTGTTTAGACAAATATGTGAATATTGGTTTGAATATGTTTAGTAATTTTTATCAGAGGGAAATATTTAATTCAACATAATATATATGAAATTTACAGTCAAAAATGCAATAAGGAATAATGTACGTATGTTGAAATTCCTGATAGCTTGAAGGATCAGGGTTTTGTTCAGTTGGATCACTTTCTCCATTGAAATGTAGGTAGTGAGCAAATATAAGTATCCTTGGTAACATCATGGATAGATTTAAAGTCTCGGTCACTCCTGCCAAATTTTTTCACCTATAATTCACATTTGGCACATTTTGCACAGGCATTAATAAGTAATTTTCTTGATAATTTGATTATTTTTTTTGCGATATTTAAGACAATGATTTGGAAAATTTATAAGATAGATAGTTTTGAATGATTTGTATCACTTTTACTTTTACATACTCCATAACTACAACGTTTTGTTGTCCCTTTTCATAATAATGGAGTATAAAAATTTTTTTCTGATTATTTTTACTTACTACTTTATTTTTTCCAATTTTTTTGCAATTAATAAACTCCAATGTATATTTTAATTTTTAAAACATGAGTTGCGGGCTCTTTAACATGGTTGTTTACAAAAAACGGTAATAAAAGATGGCTGATACTGACGCATGCGCACAAAAAAATTGTGATGAAAAGGCCTATTATGATCATATGATCAGGGTATCACTGTTTTGAAAATTCGATGTGAAGAAATACAAAAGTTATTAACAAATTAATGATATAAAAAATATTATTTCTGCGAAATAATATCTGCAAATATCCGAAATATGAAAAAATATTCCCAAACCCAGAACTCCACCACCAGTATTCATTGGTTCAATAAAGAGGTGAAATTGGGACAAGAAATGGATTACGATGATCTCGAAGGTGCTGATCTGAATTCAGTATTTTTTTCAAAAAATATATGTTCAAGATATAAAATATAGAAACCGTGAAACCTTTTAAGTTGAAGACCTAAAATTTGTTTCACTGCTGAATCTAATGTTGAAATATTTTGGAATAGATCCGTAGAAAAAATCAAAATAATTTGATTCCCACCTTTTTTTAACTATTTGAAATATGAATACGAAATATGAAAATATTTCGAAAGATTCGTTTTCTAATTACAGAACACTATTGAATGTAATATTCTAATTCTGTTCTGGTAATTCAGTTGTTAGTAAGCAAATATTTTTGAACTTGTGATGCACTGTTTGGAACCTTTTTTTTACTGGAGTTTCTTTTCCAACACAAAACCGCTATTTCAACACTTCGACACGTGTTTCGATCACCAAGTGATCATCTTCAAGAGGTTGAAATAACGGTTTAGTGTTAGGAAAGAAATTACAGTTATATTTGAATAGTTTCAGAGAACAATGGTTTCAATAACACTTTTGTTAATTTCTCAGAGACGCATTGATTGATTATTCAATAGTCAATATTGATATTGAGGTTCTATTTGGAAAATTACTATTATTACCGCTCTTTCATATTCATGAAAAACATTTTTCGTGTATTTTAATTTGTCCATTCAATAAATTTTTCCTTACAATCAGATCAATTTCTGCTCAATATTTTCATCTGATAGTAACAAAATAAAAAAACAACTATGTATATCTTCCTCGTGAACGAATCAAGTGGCTATTGTATAGCAAAACACGTGATGAGTTTTTGTGAGCCTGTTTGGCGAAAATCCCACAATGAAGTGTTTAGAAATATGAATTTTTCTATTTCCTCATTTTTTTTGGGAGTGATGACGTTTATGTAGAAAATTCCCTTTCTTTGAAGGACCGCCTTTCATATTTCAGGTGTTCGCAATACTTATCAAGGTATTTACAAAAAACGAAACTAATTTTTCATTATCAAACCATTTCTATATCACTTTTGCAATATCATTGCGTGATACTTAGAAGCATTCAAAAAGTTGCTATTCCAAATCGAATTACTGCTCAACCTCAATTTCTGATAGCGTTGACCTAAAATACCCGAGAAAGAACTTGTTGCTTAGGCTTCATAAACAGTACTTCAAAGACAAAAAAGTTACGAACCCATCACAAGCGCAAGCGACTGTGCGATTATCTTCCCAGTGGTTCGGCGTTGCGCTGTCTCTGTCACCACACTGAGCTCAGATACCTATAGTATACATAGTAGTGTGTACCACAGTGTACATAACCTGTGTTTTACTGAGTAAATAATTTCAAAAAATTATTAGAAATAAAAATATCTGACAGTGATGATTAGGAAGTGGAAGTGAGCAGTCTCCTGCAAAGAAAGCAAAATCTCACTACAACACACTATCAAGTCATCAGTAAGTTAATTATATTTTTTTATTTAGGTAATAATTAGAGTGTGCATTTATCTGTCTATTGAGCCCGCGTATATTTGGTCTATATCAAGGGTCAGTTAATGTGGGATCTACTCTCTTGGTAGATTGAAATTTAATTTTAATTTTATTCTTATGCAAACTAATACACTAAAACACTATCTTGAAGAATAAATGTCATAAAGAAAGTTTATTTCAAAATCAGCTCATAGCGAGTAACGCACGAATGTCTTTCTTATTTGTTTTTAACAGGAACATCAAAAAATCAATCAATTGATTAATTTTCTAATGATGGCTGGTTAACGAAAAAAACAGATTAAAAACAGAACAGGTGGTGGAATTTATATTGAAACATTTATAATTAATATTTATAGTTCAAGATCTTCACTGTAGTACAAACGCTGTCAATTCTAATGGCATAAAAACTAAATAGTTACCGAACGTCGACAGTTTCTTTGTAAAGGGTGATTTTTTAAGAGGTATAGGGTTTAATTTTCAAAACAACACTAAACATTTCAAATAAATGATGACATCTTTATTGAAATCGATAGAATAATCAATATAATTCAATGTTTGAGGATGATTTCATGCAAATGTTGTCCGCAGCTTCGCTTTAGATGGCCCATACGCTAGGTCCAATTTTGGAACACTCTCTCTAACATATCGACTGGTATTTCACGTATAAATGCTTCATTATTGGCTGCCGGAGCGTCAGTCATTGCTGGTTCATCCCTGTAGATGTGAGCTTTAACATGACCCTACAAGAAATAATTCAAAGGCGTTAATTCACACGATCTAGGCGGCCAATTGACGGCGCGGCGGCTCTTAATTGGGCCATTGTTTCGCGTGCCGTGTGGCATGTGGCACCGTCTTGTTGAAACCACATGTCAGGCATGCCCAATTCTTCCATTTTGGCCAACAAAAAGTCGTCAATCATCTCACGGTAGCGCTCGCCATTCAAGTACGACCCGATGATGCCACCGACCCATAATCCATACTGAACAGTGACTTTTTCGGGATGCATCGGCAGCTTTTGCAGTGCTTGTGGCTGTTCTTCACTTCAGATGCAGTTATTTTGCTTGTTAACGTATCCATTCAATCAGAAATGAGCCAGAGAGCTGAACAAAATTTCTCGATAATGTGGATCTTCCTCCAGCGCCCATTCACCAAATTTTAGACGTTGTGGGAAGTCGTGTGGCTTCAATTCTTGCACCAGCTGTATCTTATGAGATTTAACACCCAAATTCTTTGCAAAATTTTCCACGTAGTGGAGTAGCCGAGGCCCAATTGCTGCGAACGGCAGTGAATCGACATTTCACGGTCATCACGAACACTGGCGGATACAGCCGCAATATTTTCTTCGGTCCTCACTGTACGTATGCGTGTTGGTGGTTTAATAGTCAATAATGTATACTGGGTTCGAAATTTAGTCACAAGCTTCCAAATAGCTCCCTCAGTAGGCCGACGAAACTTCCCATAAATTGGAAGAAGTGCACGATGCACTTTCTTCACCAAACATGATTTTTGATAATAAAATTTAATAATTTGCAAGCGCTGTTCATTCGTAAGTCGATTCATGGTTAAATTATAGACCAAACTGAACAAGTTTGACAATGACACAAGAGACGATTCACGCGTGATCTGTCAAAAACAGTGTTGCCAAAAATATACCAGCAAAAATATCCCTAATTATAACATAGGCGTCGTCGTATAATTTTGATCAAAATTTATTTTATTTTTTATACACCTATACGGATTAGAACATTTGTCTTTCATTTAGCTGTTGGGATTGACTTCGACAGACTTTTCGACTTTCTTTCTACTTCATAACATTAAAAAGAGAAAAAAAAGCTTTCAGAATGAATGAGAAAGAATCAAACATAATAATAATGATATACACAAATATGTATAGATCATACACAAAAATTCTTTTCGGATGTGGCCCAGGAGAAAAAACCATTCGAAACAACTATAATAATAATAATAACAATCATATTTATTCACCAAGAAAAAAGTACAGAAATATATTGTTGAAATATACAGTATTATTCATGTAAAATACAGAGTAATATATAGTTGATTATAGTTTAATCGTACCAACCAGTGTGGTAAATAAATAAAGACCAATCAAAGCCTGCACGTGAGTATTGGTTATTGATTTGAAAATAGACAAACAACCAAGATTTGAAATCACAATTAACAAAAAAAAATAGTTTACACCAAATAGATTAAAAGTAAAATAAAGAAAATTCACATATAAGCGATCACAGTTGAAAAATAATTATAAAGGAGTACAATAAAATTATACTTTTAAGATGGCGTTCATTTACATTTAGTATTGAATAGTAACATTGGATACAGTTTATAAATAGATGTTTTAGAAACAAAAACTAAAGATTTCTCAATATATTTTGATATTTTTGGTTAGTAATTCTTGATTACAATTAGTTGATGTAGCTTTTTTCTTGGTGTGTTGACAATCCAAGTTCTTATTTCGAATTCAAAGAGCGACAAAGAATTAATTAGTTTGAAATTGAAAGGAATAACACTATATGACTTGGGAGCCAGATATTGAAACTTCAACATTCTAGGAATGTCAATAGAAATTAATCTAGACCTAGTGTTATATTTATGATAAGCACTTTCAAGCTTGCTATATATGTTCCTTCGGTGGTGCAGAGGCACCACACTTGTCGAATGTCCATTATTTTTGCTTGTTTATACAGATCATCGCTTTTGTAGATATAAGATTTATCCATCATGATTTTCTTCATCTATTTCTGTACCGTTGCTAAGTTTTTGAGGTGATTATTGGTGACTCGTCCCCAAGCGATTATGCCATAGGGCACATGTGTTTGGACCAGGGCATGATAAATTATTTCCAGATGTTTGAGGTGAAGGATCTTTTTAAGGAATTTGAACTTATATAGCAATTAAGTATATTTGATTTTTTATGTCAGTTCCTTCATGTGCGCATTCCATTTAATCTCGATCATGCACATCCGATCACTTTTTCTCATTCAGTACATACATTAATAGAGTGATAAAATTGAAAGAGATACAACAATTCTATAAAACCTATTGTACAGGGCTATTCAAATTCGTTTCTGTACATGGGGATCTCGTAAATGTTAAGAGATACAGTGTCGGTTGAATTGTGGCAAAGTTGCGTATTTTAGAAACCTATTCAATGATCTGAAAAAATCGAATATAACTCTTTTGGTTCTGAAGATATACAGGTAAAACCAAAAAATCCCAAATTATTTTTTTGTCTATATCTTCTTTATTCGCAGACATATTGAAAATCTGTCCACATTTTGCTTTTGACACTTGATGAAGGCTATCGGAATATGTTCATGAATCTTTTATACAGGGTGTCATCTGACTTGAGCCACCCCCTTCTTTGAATTTTTAAACACGGACATGTATTTTTTGTTGTAGTTTTTGTATCGTCGATGTTCACTTCATACTAAGAAATTCAATTTAATTTTATATTTCGCGATGTTTCGGCAATATTTGATTATAGTTGTGTAAATTATTTCCTTTTAAATTGCGGCCCTGGATATTGGTTGACCAAGTTAAATAAAAACACAATAGCAACTTCTACGTCTCCCTATGTACCGAGTTTTTCTAGAGTTTTTTTCATTTTCAGGTACCTTTTCATATTTTTTCTATTGCTCTGAGTATTTTCTACAATAAACTTCGAATAAAAAAACCTTTTATGATTTTTTTAAACATATCTACATCAGAAATATATTATATGTGTTTTAATAAGCAGAAAAAAACATGATAGCAATAATAACATCCAAAACAAAGATTGTAATGAAAATTTAAATGAAGTAATTTATATACAAAAAAATTATTGGCACAATAAATGTTCGAATTGGACTCCTTCCAATTTTAGACATTTCTGAACACGATTTTTCATATTATTTATTGCCCTTAATATTTGCTGCATTGTTGCGAAATCATTCAAAATCCTCAATCTCGAGTCTTCCACATTTTCTATCTCTCTGCCATCGTAAATCCTATTTTTCAATGTCTCCAATGGAAAATAGTCCAAAATAGTAAGATCTGGTGATCTTGCAGGCCATCTTATTGGCCCATTATTTGTCTCGAACTGGAAGGATTCCAATTCGAACATTTATTGCCCCAATAATTTTCATTACAGTTATAATATTCGTTTCGATTGTTATTAAAACTATCATTCCTTTTTCTGCTCATCAAAACACATATATAATATATTTTTGTTGTAGATATGTTTCAGATCATCATAAAAGGTTTTCTTATTCGAAGTTAATATAAACGCTCAGAGCAATGGAAATATAAGAAAAAATGAATAGGTACCTGAAAATGAAAAAAAATTCTCTAAAAACTCTACGGAACATAGGGAGACGTGAAAGTTGCTATTGTTTTTTATTTAACTCAGTCAAACAATTTTCAGGACCGCAATTTAAAGGGAAGAATTCACCCAATTATAATCAAATATTACCGAAACATCCGGAAACATAAAATAAAATTCAATTTCAAGTCAGATGGCACCCTGTATAAAAAATTCATGGACATATTCTGATAGCCCACATCAAGTGCCAATAGCAAAATGTAAACAGATATTCAATATGTCTGCGAATAAAGAAGATATAAGCAAAAAAATAATTTAGGAAATTCAATCTATAGATGGACCTCAAAAAGTTTTGAACAAAAACCTTCATCAGCACCTTTCTGTTACTCCCCTAAAGAAATCAGAAACAGCCTACCTCGTCAACTACTATTTTACTAATTACCAAAACATACATTTCTACTTCATTTTTAATCCATTCATATATCAGGAAGTTTCACTACAGGTACTTGAATGCAATTGAAAAGCGGTATATTCATGAAGGAGTAAATTAAAATCAAATTTCAAATTCATCAATTCTTATAATCCATAATGAGGATATTTCGAAAAAATTTCCACCTCAACTAAATGAACGAATAATGTTTGAAGCAGATTTCATCAAAAGCTCAAATGATTTGTATTATATTCCTAATTCACATTCGATAGATGTTCAGTGGATAACTATCATTATTTTCTTTGAAATGTTTTTTCAGGTCAATTGAAAAAGGGAATGCTCTACTCTTCTTTTTACGATCCGATGTTTTTGTGTATCTGTAAATACAATGACAATCAATGGGCGGTAGAAATATTGTAGGATGGTCTTTCATTTTTGAATTATCATACTAATGAGTGACTGATTTCACAGTTTCATTTGTTTTCCTGTGAAAAGGAATTGTGGTGTACACTCAGTGTGTTGACTAGCGGTTGCTGCAAGAAAATTATTTTGGAACATTATCTGAAAAAGTAAGTATGAAAGTATTTATTGTTGACTCATGCGTAACTCACAGAGTTACGCAAACTACTTGTCCAAACAAAACATTTTACACTATTTTTTCTCACATTTTCATGATGAATGCAACTTTTTCAATTGGTGTTTTCCACAATGCTGAACATGAATACTCGTTTCTATATTTGAAAGAAAATGAGGTTAGGAAACCTTTTGAAATTCTGATCATCTTAAGATCATTCTATCCTACACTTAAATTTCCCAGAAGAAATTCGCAATCATACAGTGCATTTCCTCAATGCCCTCCCCCTTTTATTTTTGAACGGGTCAACTCAAAAAATTGAAATTTGAGATAATGAAATTAATGCATGAATACTTTATTTGAAGTAGAATTGAGAGATGAAATTTTCAAGATGGCGACAGGGCGCCATCAATATCTTCAACTACTATAAAATGGCGAAACTTTCAATAATTGCCTTAATACATTGACACCAACTATATAATATGAGGTAGTAAGCTTGAGGTCAGTTCACGCCGAACATTTTCGAACACAGTAACGTCAATATCTCTACAAATATTTATTATTCTCTGCCGTATATCCAATATTGAAGCAGATTCAGTTTCGCATACGTTTTGTTTCAAATAGCCCCATAAAAAAAGTCTAATGGTGTCAAATCTGGTGAAAGGGCTAGCTATTCTGTAAGACGTTGACGGCCAATCCAACGACCGGGAAAAGTAGTATCCAAATAGTTTCTTACTTGTCTGGAGTAATGTGGTGGTGCTTCATCTTGTTGGAATACAATATCCATATCGAATTCATTAGGCTTCGACAATTTCAGTGATGAGAGGGTCAACAGTAGTTTCCAGCATATTCAAATACAGTCCCCCTGTAGAATTTTGATCAATAAATAGAGGTCCTGAAATATGGTTTCCCAATATTCCTGCCTATAAGTTGATTTTTTCTGGATATTGGTTATGTGTTTCCCGGAAAACGTGAGGGTTGTGTCACTCCAATAACGGCAATTTCGTCTGTGAACATTGGCGTTTGAAAAAGTGTACATTCGTCACTAAAAGAAATATTGTGGAGATAGGTAGGATGCCTTGCAATGGTTTTCGTCATGATTTCGCAGAATTCTGTTCTTCGATCAGGGTCATTTTCAGTTGATTGGTGTACCATTTTAATTTTGTATGAGTGATACCTATTCCTCTTCAAAAGTCTCCATACAGTAGAAGGAGACACCTCACATACATTCGCAACGGAATAAGTGGACTGTTCAGGATTTACTACAATCTCACCAATTATAATTGGTGAGATTGCACTTGCTGTTCTTCCGGAATGGACGGATGACCTGGGGACTTTTGGTTATGTACACTACTGGTAGTTGTGAATTAGGATACAAGTTCCCTCAAATATTTTCTGCAGATAGGACGATTCCTAATTAAAATTCGCTCAATTGTTTTCTTCCATTGGATGAAAATTGACCATTTTAGAGATTGTTGACGTGGTACCTTTCTACTAGTAAAACTGAAAACTGAATGAGAATATTCTAAATGAAAAATGATATTCATTGTCGTACTGACATTTTTTGACGTTTTTATTTAACAAAAAATAACTTAACAAACCATATCGAGTTGTTGGAATTGCGAAATGGCCGATAAAAAGGAATATTTCTAGACATATCGATATTAATGTGTTTGTCTTCAAGAAATCATTAAATATTTCGCTATTTTGTAGTTGATCATGATATTGACTTTATATTCTAGGGTTGTGAAGTATTCATCAGGAGCTCCAAAATGATGTCACAAGAACCACCCAGTCGCCCAGTCGCCATCTTGAAAGATGCATCTGTCAATTCCACTTCAAAATGAAGTATTCATGCATTAATGTCATTATCCCAAATTTCAATTTTGTGAGTTGACGTTTTCAAAAAATAATAGGGGGCATTAAAGAAATGCCCTGTTTAAAAAAATACACAAACATGTGTTCTTTCATTATATTTTTGGAAAAAGTAATTCAGCATCTTTCAATTCTCTTTACAGAATTCGATTGTTCGGAGTAGGTTCAGTTTTTACAGGTGATTGTCCGACTTTTTTCATATTCAAACGTTTTCTTCATTACAATCCTTCATCAAACTGCATTTGACAAATCGAAGCATCAAGCAAGGCAAAGAATATAAGGAATTGTGAAAATAAGTTAAGGACAGTGAAAGTCGTCAATAAAAAAAATTACTGCATGTTGTTTCTGAACAGGGACAAATGATTCTCAGAGTTCATCAGACCATCCTGTATTGTACCCAGAAAAATTTGCACAATTTTCTGTTGAATATTGTATTCAGAACCTTCGACGTTATTCATTTCTTTCTGATATTCGCCTAATTTCTGATAACTCCATAAAAATATTCAACAGATTCAAGTCAGAAGAACGAGCTGGTCATTTTACCGTTATGCTTCTGTCAAGCTGCCTTTTGTGAAATTATATTTTTTCCAATTGATATTTGAATTGTACTTCTTTGCAGTATCTGGAATTGAATTATATATAAGGATTCCATCATGATATACCGATTCCTTTGTTTGTTTTTCGTTTTTGACAGTGATTTGGTGTGTCTTGTGGCATGATTATGAATATATTTCATTAGTTCAAACTTCCTTTCTTCAATATGATATAAATTGATTTGAAATCCTTGAAAGAATCTATAAAAATTAAAATTTCATTTTCAAAATATACAGGACAGCGATGCTTTTCGTACTTGGTGCCAACATTTTTCAATTTCATTCCTGCTGAAATGAAAGAAACTTAGTCTTATAGAGGATTCAAGAAGAAACTATAAATTTTTTATTGATTCAAACAGACTTACTATTCATGAACTCATCTTCGGGTGATGACGATTGTGGATACTAACAATCGAAACGTCATGAAGTAACTTGGCTTGAAATCTTTTAATTTTCATTTCTTATTAATTGTTCAAATTTAAATCATTTCTTGTATTCTATTTCATTGTAATTTCAGTTTCTTTGCTCAATATAATTGTTATTTTTTAGTCAATCTTTTTAATTTTTATAGATTTTTTCAGGTATTTCAAATCAATTTATATCATATCAGACAAAGGAAGTCCGAAATAATGAAATGCACCACGAAACATTGTCAACCATCTTCAAACAAACGATTATGAATCTGTTTAATTTTAGGAGTATGAAGATTTTAAATAATTCCAATTAAAGTATGTATTTCTTTCTAATTTTTTCAATATCTTTATTCCATAATGAAACGTGAAACCGGAACCTGTGGCGTAAAATAAATTCAGAACAAGGAAGATCAAACTGTTTAATCTTCCTCTTGAAGATGATCACTTGGTAATCGAAACACGTGTTGAGGTGTTAAAATAACGGTTTGGTGTTGGGAAAAAACTTCTTTTGATAGAGTGTTGCGTGAATGAATTATGAAACATTACGTTCGACAGTGGGCACCAAAATGAAAAAAACTTCAATAATAGAAAAATGTTTTGATTGAAAAGGGTTTATTTTTTGTTAATATACGTTTTTCTAAAAAAAAAAGATTTTTGGTTTCCGCTTCTCCATCTTTATACAAATAAATAGAGTTTATTTGAAACTTAAATGCTTTTTTACTTCCTTAGGAATTTTCCCATTTATATTTCTGTAAACTGAAAACCAAAAAGTTATCTTTCACAGAAAAATGATGCTTTATCACATTTTGAAGAATGAGTTTGGCGTGAACTACAGTTGTTTATAAAAAAAATTCTCTTCGGAGAAGCCAGAGTTATTAGGTGCATATCTAATGTTATATCAATGGAAATACGAATAATTTTATTCAAAAGTGATTTCATCATAGAGAGGTACTATTTTTATTTCAGGAATAGCAAATAATAACAAACATTTTTTAATGAAAATGGCTTTGTTTTCCGAAATGTTCCCCTTGATGATCAATACACTTTTGCATTCGTTCAAATCATTTGTCAAAGCAGTTTTTCCATTCTTCTTGAAACACTTCAAAAACATGGTTTTTGAACGCTTCAACCGCTCCTTCGGCGCTCGTTAATCGTTGACCACGCAATTCTCCTTTGATATTCGGGACCAAGAAGAAGTCATTGGGTGCCAAGTCAAGACTGTACGCAGGATCATCATCAATTCGATGTTTTGACTGCTCAAAAATTCACCTGTTTGACGAGATGTGCGACAGCTCGCATTGTCATGATTGTCTTCGGCCGTTAGTTTTACGAATTTCTACGAAGACTTACGGAAAACAAATGTTTGTGTACCACTCAGAATTGACCGTTCTACTTTGCTAATGCGAAACAGTGGACACATAATCCATTCGGCCTAAGAAAAAGGTGATCGTTTGTTCCGTTGTGCTTCTTTCACGAACAAAGTTTCTTGGATATAGCTCATTTTGGAATACCCACCTGGTCGATTGCTGTTTTTTGTTTCCGGCTCATACGCATACATCCATGATTCGTCACCTGTCACGAGTTTATTTACGTCCTTTCAAGAACCACCACGAGCCTTTTATTGGGCGATTGATGAATTATGGGGTATCCAACGAGAACACATTTCATGCAAAAGTGAAACTGATGTGCAAGGATGCCTCTATCTCACAATATGTCACATGATGATCTTTCATTATCAGTTCATGCACCACTGCATCGATGTTTTGTGGCACAACAACCGATTTTGGGCAACCTTCACGGAATTTGTCGCTAACTAAACCACAACCACGATTAAATTCATTATACCAGTGATATAATGTGATTTTTGATGGTGCTTCATCGACATATGGAGAACTGAGTTCATCCACACATTTTTGTTGAGATAATTCACGTCGGAAGATGTGAAAAGTAATCCAACGGAAACCTTCTCTCGAAGTTTCTATTCTTTGAGTAAATTGATTTTCTCAACTCATTGTACCTGAAAAAAACAACTAGCACTTCTACATCGAAACGTTGTGAGTACGTTCATGCTGAAAAATGTCAAACTTCATTATTGTGTTGCCACATTTTACCAATTGACAATAGTGTTAACAGTTTCCAAAATATAAATAGTCCCCCATGCTACTGGAAATTAAAAAATGCTCAGTTGCTAGAGAAACAGTCCGACATACACCAACACATCACGAGAAATGCGTGGTAAGAACATGGTAAGAACATGCCGTTATCGTTTGACCAGATCAAATATTAATTCTGTTGATTACAATCTTTTCATCTTTCTGCCAAATAACTTAGAGCTTAGTATCACCAAATTCAAAAGAGCCATCAAGGAAATGCTACTCAACTAATGTTTTTACTCAGTCTCGGAATACTACGATCATTTTAGGAAAGTTCACGTACGTTCACGTACGTTCACGTACAATCGGTATCGATTGTACTGTGGTAGTTTGTAAATACCCCTATTATCATAGATGAATATTTATTTGTTTATGCAGTGTGTAACTGAATAAGTGTAAGACATTCAAAGAGATGATTCGTCATCGAAAAAAAAATTGGATCTTTCATATAAAGAAACTTCATTGGAGCATCCCTTGTTAAGATACAGCCCCTCAAAGGGGGTACATAAAATTTGTATAACAATTTTTTTCACAAGCACTGAAAAAGTAACAATATTGAAATTACCCTGACGTTTTGAACTACCAAAAAGACACTAAGCCAGTAATTTATATGGTTCACCCCATGGTTGTAAGGGGTGGAAAACGCAACCCCTAAAATTCATTTCCAATGTAACTTTTTGTTTTATCATTTGTACAGAGATACATCGTCATAAATGCGAACTGGATTTATTGTTATTTTGTAGTTAGTACCTGCATTAAACGATTAATGAATGTAATGAACAAAACTAATATATTAATAACAAAACACACAACATGTAGAAATCATAGTAAATGTTCAATATGTCTACCTTCAGACATTACGCATGCGTCTAGACGTCGACGCATTGAGCTATGTATTCGCTCAAATATTCCTGGAGTCTCTCTGAATACCCTGCACGCATCGATGATGCGGTTTCTTAAGTCCTCTACATCGTGAACATGAGTACGATAAACCAAATGCTGTAAATGGCCCCGAATAGAGAAATCGAGAGGATTGAGATCCGGGGATCGAGCGGGCCAGTTCTGTGGTCCTCCTCGACCTATCCACTGATTTGCATATGTTTCAGTTGAATGCTGACGTGCTACTTGAATAAAATGGGCGGGAGCCCCATCATGCATAAAAAACATATCCCTTCTGACGCCCAAAGGAACTTCCTCCAGCAGTACTGGATGCACTTCTCTGAAAAATTGAACGTATGCCTCACCATTCATTTGAGGAGGTAGAAAATGAGGCCCAATTAAATCATCCCCAATAACTCCGAGCCACACGTTAAGAGAAAACTGTTCTTGAAGGTTGGTTTCGACGATAGCGTGAGGGTTTTCATCAGCCCATATGTGGTAATTATGAAAATGAATAATCTTGTCCCGAGAAAAACTACATTCCTCTGTGAATTCTATCGTCTTCAGCAAGCAACAATTTCTTCCAATCATTTTCAGCATCCAATTTCAAAATTTAAGACGGTTCGGAAAATCTTGCGGTGATATGTAGTGCCTGTACTCGTTGCAGATGGTAAGGGTATAAAAGTTGTTCCTTTAAAATTCAAAATATCGTCATATGATCAACATTTAGCCGGAAAGCAATCTTTCTAGTACTGGTAGAAGGTTGTTCTTCAATCAAATTAAATACTGCTTCCTCAAGCTGTGGTGTTCGTACTTCTCGATGGCGACCACTATCCTGCATTCTTCTGTCGAATGAACCATATTCTCGTAATCGTTGATGAAGTCGAGCAAATATTCTATGTGAAGGATGCTGCCGTTGAGGATACATTTCAGCATATCTTCTAGAAGCTACTGACCCATTCCTCTGCGACAGACCGTAAACGTAATGCATATCAGCCATTTTCTCATTTGTGTATGCCATTTTAATAACAAGTGAATTTTCAAACTAACAAATTGAGAACAGAACAATAACACACAATTAGTAATAATTCAATTTCGAAAATTCACAAACAGACAGCGTCATACTAATTCAATTGTCACTATCGCTAATAGCGACCTACTAGATAGATTAGTTTCGTATTTTCGCATTTATGACGATATATCTGTGTAGTTGTTCCTAAAATAATTTTTTGCTACGAACTGGTTTATTTTGGACAAAAACCTAAGAGACATTCTTTGTTAAGAATGAGACAGGCTATCGGAAATACATTTTTTAATGGTAAACAAATAATAAGACAAAAAGTTACATTGGAAATAAATTTTAGGGGTTGCGTTTTCCACCCCTTACAAACATGGGGTAAACCAAATAAATTACTGGCTAAGTGTCTTTTTGGTAGTACAAAACGTCAGGTTAATTTCAATATTGTTACTATTTCAGTGCTTGTGAAAAAAATTGTTATACGAATTTTATGTACCCCCTTCAAGGGACTGGATCTTAACAAGGGATGCTTCAATGAAATTCCTTCATATGAAAGATCCTATTTTTTTTTCGATGAAGAATCACCTCCTTGAATGTTTTACACTGATTTAGTTATACCCTGTATACGTACGTAGACAAACCCTGCGTTGCCTAATCTTTTCACATTTTTCAATTTACTTCTTTGTTTTATATATTCATTCAATATTATGTGACGTAGTTAATGAACTGTTCTATTCTATCCAATATGGTACAACTTGTTTAAATATCACGAATAATTCTGTCCTCGCTCAAAGAGGTTTCTGATTTCGAATGAAATTTGTGAAAGCCATTTAAATTTGTTGATTCTCATTGAAACCGCGATGAAATTTCAGCATGGGTTGTGCTCTGGACACCTGCAGAGACACAGACAGTGAAGTAAGTACCCCTGAAGGGGAACCAGAAGAAACTCAACCACCAGTTGCCGCATCGCAATCAAGACCACTATCAGTACCACCATCAGTACCACCACCATCACCACCATTAGAACCGCCATCAGTATCACAAGCACTAGCATCATCAGTATATCAACTGCCAGATGCAGTTGTAATCCAAATTACTGACGAGATTCGAGCGGTATTGAACCTGATGCCACCAGAATTTCAGGCTCCTGTTGACTATGAATTTACACTTCCTCCCGATGCCTCAACTGAAATGGATGACACATTTCCGCAATGTCAAAGAGGACAGGCTACCAGAGCTCCAAGCAACTTCACAATTGTAGACCGCAACGTGTGGTAAGTTATTTTTTGTGCTACTAGTGTGATATTCTTGAGTTAGAAATACAATAATCACTTCTTTTACAAATCGGAAATAGGCCTTCCCATCACGATTTTCTCTACGCTCATGCGTTACTTTCTGTCATGTTTTTCTTTCTGTTTTGTGTAAACAAACAAACATGCCAGCATAAAACGAAAGGTTTCGGATTTCTACTTTCGAGAAACAAATGGCCAAAACTTCTCCCAAAAATTAATCTCTCCTCATTGATGACATGAGCTGTTGAACAACATGTCAGAGTTTTTCAGCTTATTGCAAAATAACTTTGTTTTCAATGAGACGCCCAGACTTTTAGACCTGGTGTTCTGCAATCACTTCTGTCTCGTTGAAAAATCCCTAGATCCATTAGTGAAAGAGGACGGTCATCATCTTGCTTTGGAAATAACATGCGAACTGAACTCCAAAATGAACTCGAAGAATAAATTTGAATCATCTTTCCAAGATGCATACAATTTTAAAAAAGCTAACTTTCCGCTCATGTGTGAGCTGATCCTCAATCTCGATCGTACGTTTCTGAATGCGTTTCGCAATGCAGATGATGCCTGTCTTCACTTTTATGAAAAATTATACAGTGTATTTGAACGCTGCGTGCCAAAATTCTCGATAAAATTTAAAAATAATTATCCAGCCTACTTTGATGTTGCATTGATAAAAAAAATTCGAGCTAAATCAAAATTTTGGTGTAAACACTAAAAAACGTCGACATTTGCGTTTTTCACGAATTGAAACGTCTTCGGGCAGAAATCATAAGAGCCATTAGAATAGCTAATAAAAAATTCATTCAGAAAACTAAGAGCGAGATTATCCATAACCCCAATAAGTTTTGTTCATTCATTAACAAGTCGAAATATACGAATTGAATCGGAGATAAAATGTTACATGAAGGCAAGCTACTCCATAATTCCTCAGATATTCTTGATTGCTTTGCAGATTCCTTCAGTGGTTCTTATATAGTGTCAACATCAAATGACCATACGAACAACAGAAGTGATATTCCCAGCTTAGTAATAAAAAACTTCAGGCTTAAAGATGTTTATCATATCCTAAAATAATGAAGCCTAAATTACTGTGGGACTTGATCATATTCCAGCATGTATCATTAAAGATTGTGCTTGGGTGATGACAGCCATCACCCGAAGACGATTGTGGATACTAACAATCGAAACGTCGTGAACTAACGTGACTTGGAATCTCTCCACTTTTTTACTTTTATTTTATTTATTCAATTGTTCTATTTTTACTTGTATTTTATTTCAGTATTATTTCCTTTCAGGATTATTTTGCTTAATATAATTATTATTTTCAGCTATTCAGTTTTAATTTTTCTTTTTTAGTTGTTTCACGGATTTCCAATCATTTTATATAGTAGACAATGGAAGTCAGAACTAGTGAAATTAATCATGAAACATTGTCAATCATCTTCAAACAAACCACCAATCTTGTAACAATCACTCAATGCATTGCAGAGAGATTCGATTATCCGTCTCAGACTGATGTCATCTACACTGATTTTTCTAAAGCGTTCGACAGTCTTGACCATAGTACCCTGCTCCACAAGCTTCCGACTTTTGGGTTATCCAATGAATCAATTACCCTCTTCAAATCGTATTTTTACGATCGTAAGCAATACGTCCAACTCAATGGCCTCGAGTCTATCGAGTATATAGCCACATGTAGTGTACCACAAGGATCAAATCTAGGACCCCTAATGTTCAATATGTTCATTAATGATATCGGAGCTGAGATTGATGTCAATTTTTTTTTATACGCAGATGACTTGAAACTCTATCACAATATAATATGTTCTAATGATTGCGAACGTCTCGCTCTGAATTTAAATCGCGTTGCTACTAGGTTTCGGAAAAATAATCTATCTCTCAAAATATCCAAATGTAATGTAATGTCTTACTCACTAAAAACGATTTTGAATTTACACAACTACGTCATAAACAATCAAGTTCTGAAGTGTCCTGATACACTCACTGATCTAGGTGTTACTTCTCATTCATCCCTCTCTTTCAATAGACATATTGACACTACTCTAACAGCAGCTTATCGCATGTATGGATTCTCAGTTAGAAATACAAAAGACTTCGAAAAAGCTTCAACGTTGAAATTACTTTATTTCACTTTTGTTCGATCTAGGCTGGAATATGCATCTGTTGTGTGAAGTCCCTACTATCAGGTTCATATAAATCAACCTACAGAGGCGCTTTCTAGAATATATGTCTTTCAAACTTGAAGGCACGTATCCTACTGTAGGAATGCCCTATTATGAATTGCTTGTAACTCATAATTTTTGTAGTCTCGAGGTAATGCGTAAATATTATTGATTTCTTTTTTTATTCAAGGTCATAAACAATATCATCACCTGCTCTCAACTTTCACACATGTTGAATTTTTGGATTCCTAGACGGTGATCTAGGAATAGTGTTACATTTTATCTCAACACTCCGCGTACAAATATAATGAAAAAATCTCCAGTTTATACAATGGGCGATACCTCTAATTCTGTTAGTCATATCCTAGATATATTCAACTGCCAGATTATACAAATGAAAAGACATTTCTTATCTAAGTGACAGTTCTGTTTTTAATTTTTTTTATATATAGATTCACAAAGTATATTATGTAATTAGATATTTGTAAATGCCACTGTTACACCCTATTCTGTAATTGGGTTCATCCTGTAGAATAGTGTATGAAATAAATAAATAAATAAATAATGAGTAGATTCAACTCATTCATGTCATGAAGTTGTGATTTTATGAATGAATTGAGTGCTTGTAATGTAATATTATCCAGATTGGTGATGGTGCATTGAGGAAGAAAGTGTTTCATGAAAGTGAATTTCACCTCTTTCATATTCTATATTGTGTAGCAATCCCGTGAATCATATTCGATTCAATATAAAAGTACAGCAAGCGCCAAACGTGATGGCGAGCCCGCCCCCATTCGCACAAACTCATTTTTAATGTAACCCCCACTACAGCTCTTGCAAGACATACAAATGCTCTGTACAGAACCACATGTAACAACATTTTTAAACAATCTTGGGTGGCTGAAAATGTTAAATAGAAGGAAACATCACCTTGTATGCCTCGTTCATAAGTTATTGAGAAACCAATGTCCAGAATACCTCTACTCCAAAATTACTCCACGTTACCAGTACTATTCTAGAAACCTTCGTAACATCAATATGCTTACCCTTCCGCGTCACTCTCTATCTTTTTCTGAATGTTCTTTCTCTGTAACCGAGTACAATTCATATCCTGCGAACTGAAATCACTATCTTTTTCTGCGTTTAAAAATAAAACGAAAGCCATCCTTTTCGGTATACAATGAATCTGCATGAATTGAATCAAATTAAATCAAATTAAACCTAAATTAATCATCTAATGCATTTCACATCATATTTTTTTTCCAAATTAATTTACCTCTATATACTTTTGTCACATGATGTTAAAACCTAGATCAGGTCCTAGTTTTGAGTTATGCTACTGTATCACTATTAATACTCTCATGTACAAAAATATTCTTGGTTGAGTGGTAGAATAGCGTAAGCCAAGATAAAAATTAAGATCATTCATTATTATTATTATCATTATTATTATATCTATATCATTACTTGTCCTCCAATGCTTTTGGCGTTTGGCATTGTCTGGATAAATTTTGTTGTTTCTAAAAAAAAGTTATCGCAGAACAAAAACCAGTAATCAAGAGTCAGGCACGTGAAATAATTTTTGAAGTGTTCAATTATTTTCAAAAGTGTTAAACGTGAGTTGAATACGTTATCAAATTTGAAAAATAAAACGTCTCTCACTACAGGTGACATTAAATAAATTTAAAAAATAAATATTTTAACACAAATCTTCATTTTGTACCAGGTATTTTAATAAGAACCATTGAAGAAGTGGTTCAAATCAAATCAAATCACTTTATTTATACTGTAGAACTTACAAAGTTAAAGGATAGGTCAAACTAGTAAAATCGAACCAAACATACATGAAAGACTGTCATATGCATACGAAACATATCAACTTAATTCATCTCCAGCTTCATTAAATTAGTGTAATAGGAAAATAAAATTACGGAAGATTGAGAAATTCATCTATGGTATAAAAATTATGTTGTTATAAAAACCTTTTAAGGGTGGTTTTGAAAACCTGAATTCTATAGGTAGTTTTCAATGAGTCGGTCAGTTTTCTTGCCTGTGATGAAACCGTACTAGTAAAGTTTTTCGAGAGTTGAAATGAAATGAGTTGGCAGCACATCATGAAACCAAACGATTTGACACCGTGTTACAAGTTTTTTTCAAAATTGTGTTGTCTTTGTCCGAAATTAGAAGTGTCATCTGCATATATAACGCACGTATTCTCAGCAACCGCGGCCCCAACATCATTACAATATAATATAAATTATAGCGGTCCCAACGCTGATCCTAGAGGTATTCCAGTGGTCAAAACCTGAGTATTTGAAATACATTTACAATGACTATTTTCAGATCTATGATTCACCGAAACAAATTGACTCTTGTTTCTGGTGAAAGACTCTATTCAGTCAAGGGCATTTCCTCTTATTCAATATGAATATAATTAATTCATTCAATAATATCGTGTGGTCGCAGTCGAATGCCCTACTGAGATCACAAAATATTCCAGCAGGGCATTCACCAGCCGCGATGTACTCCAAGTTTTTTGTGTAAAAAGCTGTTACAGCAGTTATAGTGGACATATTGTATCGCAAACCATGTTGAATCGGGGATATAATGTTATGCCTCTCAATGAAATCTGTTTGACTCTGTTAAAAATATTCAAATATTCAAGTAACAGTCCCTATTACTTTTGGTTCTGTTATTCTCCAATCATCTGGCATTTCAAAGATGACGTTACCCTAAGTTGAGTCTTCCCGTCTTCAAAAGATGCATCACTTCCGTCACAGTAATGCAGGATACTGCTGTGGGGGGAATTCCTAGAGAACATTTACAGATATTAAAGTTTCCAAAGATTTTGACTTTTTGGTTATAGAAATGAGAGAAGAGACTTCTTACTTCTTCAAATCCTTTTGGGAAAATTAAGCAGAGCAACTTATTCGCTTTCTACAATGCAAGATGTCTTATGAATCTGCTTCGCACCAAATATTTCAGAACGAGCAGAATCTGCATCAGGAGAGTAAGCAAGTTTCTCTTGAACTTCTTACTTTTTCAACTCCTTTTGGGCAATTCAGTAGAGAAACTTATTCGCTTCCTACAATGCAGGATTTCTTATAAACCTGCTTCGCACCAAATATTTCAGAACAAGCAGAATCTGCATCAGGAGAGGAAACAAATTTCTCTTAAACAGGTCAGCAAACGCTTACGCTCCAAAAAAGATCTATTCAAAAAATAGGCGGAAAAATCTCCCTAGCTGAATCTGATATATCTTCAGATGCCCTCATATGGAATTTTTGCTACGATCATTAAGGTGGTAATCTGATACCTTGAACACCCGACAACCTTTGAATTGCCCGAAAGAATCTGTGGAAAAATTAAAAAGATTAGCTGAAAAAACAATTTTATCAAGCAAAAAACTGAAACTACAATGAAATAACATACAAGCAACAACCAAAAAACCAAAAAATTGAACTGTTAACACGAGCTGAAATATTAATTCATAATAAAAATTGAAATTAAAATTGAAAGATTCCAAATCAAGTTACTTCACGACGTTTCGATTGTTGGTATCCACAATTATCTTTGCCTGATAATAGGACTCATTCCTTCGAAATCTGACCATTTAGAGGTCATTCGACTGATTTCACCTATCCCCTCTTCCCTCTCACCGCTTCATTGATTTTTAGCGGGAGCTAACCGTTTGGCGGGAGTTGGTCGTGTTCCGCTTGATTAGAGTTTTCCATATGTCACGTATCTCTACGCTAGCTTGGCTAAATGCGTTGTTGGACAATATATATGCGGTTTTTTAAATTTTCTCCTGAACCAGTGTTCCTCTTTGTGGATGATTTCAGCCTGAGCCCACTTGATGTTATGTTGATGAGTCCAAACATAACTCCATATGTCACGTATCTCTCACTTCAGCTTCTTGTGCAGAGCTAGAGACAACAAGATCATACCCAAAGGTTTTTTACTGAAATCATCAATCCCAGGAGAGACAGCCAAACGCATATTGGAAAGCGCCAGCCGAGCACTGATAAGGTCTCAAATTAATTACCACCATTGGAAGAGGTCAACTCTGATGCAGGATACCACAGAACGATTTGAAGAAATAAGAAGAGAGACTTTGGAAGAGTATCATGGAGCAATCTTTGCCATGATTGAAAGAATTTGCTTGAAAATACGACAAGACATGGAGAAAACTCACAACAGGAAGTGGTGAAAGTTGCTGAGGAAACAATGCCCAAATGCAGAACGGAAACAGGACAACTATGATGCCGCCAACGTCATCAACATGAGTTCTCGCCCGCTCACAGACATAGAGGAATCTTTGTTGAGGAAAAGTCTGAACTTCGCTATTACACCAACATCTGTGCCTACTTTGGAAATAATAACTGCAATGGAATCAACCAGTTTGCTTGTTGATCAGATCGAGTTAGAAGAATTCAGATGGAAAATTAGAGAACAGCTAGATAGAGAACCAGTTCCAACACCTAACATCAGCAATGAAGAACGAAGAGCCCTGAAAGGGCTACGTAGAGACAACACCATCAAGATCTTACCTGCAGATAAGGGAAACGCTTGTTGTGATCGATACTGATCTCTAGGAACAAAAGATCAAAGAGGTGCTTCAGAAAGGAAAATACACGAAGATCGTAAGAGACCCTACTGCATCAATTGAAAGGAAGTTGTACCAGACTATTTTTCAGTAAGCTCCCGGTACCACAGTAAGCTCCCTCACTTATATGGACTACTCAAAATCCACAAGAAGTATGTTCCGCTCAGACCGATCATTAGCTCCAGGGAGTCAGCCACTCAGAATTTATTCAGATTTTTTCTACCAATAAGTAAACCACTGCAAGGAAAAACATCATCTTCTGTGAAAAATGCAAGGCATTTTGTTGAACTACTAGGGGAAATCGAAGTCAAAGAGCAGGATCCACTGATCAGTTTCGACGTGGAAAGCCTCTACACCGACGTTCCTGTCGAAGAAGCACTTCAAATCATACAGAAGAAGCTATGGGGACCTGAACTATAGAACAAACTTACCGATACAAGTAATCATGGAATTACTAGGATGCTGTGAACGAAATTGCTACTTCCAACTGAAGGACGAATTCTTTACGCCAACTAGGCATCGTCAAAAATGACCTTCAACGGAATAGTTAATCCAAAGTAATGTTGAAACAGGCTTTCGCTAGAAGACATCAAGAGCTCATCAAGGAAGAGAAGCCGCCACAACCAGTACTTGTACTTCTCTACATCAGAAGATTGTCGGATACGATACGAATGATTGGGTCCAAGTATAACATCAGAACCTGTTTCAGATCTGGGAACACAATCCGTAGAAGTCTCACCACCAAACGCGGACTGCGATTCCAAGTATTGCATTTACCGGATACCCTGAGAGTACGGAAAATCATACATCGGTGAAACTAAGAGGTCATTGAAAGTTCGCATTGCCGAGCACAAGAGACACAAGCAGCGAGGAGAAACCAGCAAATAGCAGAGCATGTATGGACTCATCAACATAACATCAAGTGGGCTCAGTCTGAAATCATCCACAAGGAGGAATACTGGTTTAGGAGAAAATTCAAAGAAGCCGCATATATGTTGTCCAACATCGCATCTAGCCAAGCTAGCGTAGAGATACGTAACATATGGAAACCTCTAATCAAGCGGAACACGACCAACTCCCGCCAAACGGTCAGCTCCCGCTAAAATCCAATGAAGCGGAGAGAGGAATGAGGGAATAGGTGAAAGCAGTCGAATGACTTATAAATAGTCAGATTTCGAAGGAATGAGTCCAGTTACCACCCGAAAATGATTATGGATACTAACAATCGAAACGTCATGAAGTAACTTGGTTTGGAATCATTCGATTTTATTTTTCATTTTCATTTTCTGTTAATAATTCTTTAATTTTTCAGCTCGTGTTAATAGTTTTTTTTTGGGTTTTTGGTTATTTCATTGTGAATTCAGTTTTTTCAGCTCATCTTTTTAATTTCAAAAACTACTCACGATTTGATCTCCAGAAACTTTGAAAAAGCTACTATGCTAGCGAAACATGTTGTGATTATATTCCTTCAAATAAAGTTTGTGGAGATCAAATCGTGAGGTGTAGTTTTTGAAATTACTATGGATCTTTACTAAGTAACGGCCGAATCAATCAGATATTCTTTTTGTTTTTTTCACAGATTCTTTCACGGATTTCAAATCAATTTATATCATATTAGACAATGGAAGTCCAAACTGATGAAATGCACTACGAAACATTGTCAACAACCCTCAAACAAACACATTTTCACATCTGAAAATTTTGGAGTGAAATATTGTTACCGTCTCTTCGTGTATGGATCAGATTTTCAGCACTGAGTAGAGTTTCACTTGTCAGCTGGCCTGAAAAATCACTCAACAAATGATTACTAGGGTTCGTTGAGAAGTTGGATTAAATTGATTGAGTTCAAGAAAGTGCCACCACGATAATTCTTTACAGGTTACAATTCGAAATCATCTTCCTATATGTCTATAGGGTGGAAGGTTTTGCGATGATTTTCGAGTCAAAACTTGTTTTCCTTGAAAACACACTTGACGTATGTTCCCAGTAGTGTGTGCCCAGTAGTTATTCCTGCATACGAAAGACGAAATTTCAGATTCTATTGAATGACCATTGTATATTTTTCAGTTACAGGAGTTTTCCACCTACCACAAACGGGAGAAAAATGTGGAACAAGCGAATGAAACGGCAGGGATATGGCATTTACGAAGGACCAAGGTCCATATTCCATGGAGGCAGAGTAACTAGAGGAAGCTTGTCAGTATGTCGTCGTTGTTCCAGAGAAATTGAGAGATCTTTGCCAGTCTCTAGCTAAGGGCAAGACAGAACGGAATTACTCGTAGTCATAGGAGCCACATCTGTGTTTGTGCAAGAATGCTATAATACTGGTTTTGTAACATCAAATATTATGTGTTTTGAAGAACGTTCAGAATGTTTTTCAAATACTTATATATGAAGTTATAACTGGAATGAAATCCATAGCTGCTATTGTTCCTTTCTAGAAAATAATTCAAAAATATTGACCATTCAGTTTTCACTTAAGAGGAAGAAACGACCCCTCTTTTTCAAAAGAGGGAAATTCATTGATCCTCAATTTCTTCATGATATTTTGTGAAAACTTGTATCGATTGATTCCTGTTTCAGTATTATTCTCACAAAAAAAAATACTAATTACTTTCATTTCGTGCCGAATTCCTGAAAATATAATCGAAACATAATTGATTACAATTTTTTTCTGAACAAGCTCCCATATGGTTTTTATCATTATCTAAAAATAGTTAACCTTTCATTTCCAACTACCTATCATAAAGAAATTACGGGAAAAATGTGAAGTGAAACTATAATTTGACTTTGTAGTGGAAACATTTCAAATCTTATTCAAAAAGGAGCCTACATAATATTTTTGTTAAGTTCATATATCAAAATACTCTGATGTACGCCAATTCATGTTTCGATAACAGACAGTGTGTGCTTCAATTTAAATTTTTGAACTCCATTAATATTTCAAATTAAGGTTGATGATAGCAGGTGCCATATTATGTAATCAATGTACGAGAGGATTCATACCAACAACCAGAAAATGTGAATTTACAGGTTTCTGGTTACTTTATTACAATTCGAAAGTAATACAATTTTACGAATATGACAAAATCCTGAACATGAAATTCAATAAAATAAATATAAGCACAGAATATTTCTGTTAATATTTTCGTATAATATGAAACGGCTCACAGATTTGTATATAATGAATATTAACGTATACGTGTATTTCTAAAAAACATGATTCTCATGAAAATGTAGCTATTTAAAAAATTATAGTTGGGTTCGTCATACTCAGGAGAATGAAAGTAGTATGTATTTGGTGACATGGATCTTTTTTTTTGTGGATGATAGTTCTGTTTCTGATAAATTGTATTGACTGAACTGAGTATTCCGAATATTTTAAAGTGAAAAACATTTTTTGCAATTGATTTGGATTTCCAGTGTTATATTTGTATTTCGTGTTTTAAATTTGAGTGGACCATTCCACGAATGGATTTGTAAATAACGTCCAAAATTTGTTTTAGATATATAATGTTTCATTTGATGACTGAAATGTTAACTAATTCGCTGTGATATTGACTAGGTATTAGAGAGATATGTGACTATTTTTTATATGAATATATTATATACTGAATGAGTTTAATGTATTACTATTCCTACCATCCGTTTATTGTCCATAACATCATTGTTATGGATGTCTGGCGTTCTGAAGATATAATTAAACTTGTGATTCTCTGTTTGGAACCTGAGGTGTAGTAATGAATAGAAAGAAAGAAAGACATTTATTCATTCATGGACCAACTACATGATATTGAACATTTCAATTTATACTTATAAAATGATTATCCAAAGTGAACATAATAAAAACAAAAAATAAAAGTTAATGTACAATTTGAACAATTTATGCAGCTGCAGTTTCGTAAAAATGTATCATCTTTCCCTCCAACGAATTTCCTGAAGTCTTTGAAGTCCACTAGATACTCATCAGGACAACAAGAGGATTGTTCCGAGTTCTTGGGGTTCTTGTTGAATACTCTTCGTGAGCAAAACAATAACAGAATCAATACTCCTGACCGCTCTGAATTGAATGATTCCGTATAGTTTATCTCGTTTTGTGTTTGTAGATCTCTTGCTGGAACAATCCTAACTTGTTTCCTTTGTAGTAAATGTTCAAGAGGTAGCAAAAACGTATGTGAATTTCTGGAATTTCAACTAGCGTTTCCTAATGTGACTAATAACAAGTCCGTGAAAAGCTTATTGTTAAATCATCTGAAAATGGAACTTTTAACAGGTGATGATCGACTGTATTGCGAAACATGCGCCAAACTAAGTGACTGTTTAAAAATCTGTTTAAAATCTGTTTTTCCGTTAATCAGCTGCCGCCCCCATACGAACGACAACTCTCAGAAGTTGAGAAACTTGTGCGAGCTAAGGATTACCGAGGTCTTACCTTTTAACGTGTGATTCCTAACACGTTAGGAATCACACGTTATAGCTGAGGACCAGTCAATCTAATGATAACACTGATGATCTTCAAATATGACTCAACCTTGGACGGAAGCACCAAACTGTTACTAAGGTTCGAAGTATATGAACACTTCAATCTAGCAGATCACTATTATAATCTTCATGCAGTCATTATTCACTGTGGTTCTGCGTTGAATCTGATCTCATTATTACGCCTTTGTCAAACAAGAAAGTGTTCTGGCGAAGTATTGCATTCATTGGAGCCTCTGGAGGCACACTACATTTCATTTCATTGGAGAGAGAACATTGGCAGATTAAGATCTTCAGATTTTTCCTGCAGCTGAAAAAGTAAATGCGCCACTGGAATCAATGAAGTCGCCCCGGAGCGCAAATTAATTTTTATTGTTGTTTTTATTTTATNTAATTTTTGTTGTTGTTTTATAATTTTACGATTTGTATTAGATAATTGTAATATATTGAATATTTGTACTTGCTAATAAGTATGTTGTTGTTTTATAATTTCATGATTTGTTTTTTGGATGTGTTATTCAAATATATTTTTCGTTTATCTTGAAAGAAAAAATATAAACAAACATACATTTGAATGTAGATCTCTAAAATATAAATATGTATATACATTGGTATAAATAAAAATGTAACAATATGAAAAACGGATATATGTACAAGTATAGAAATGTAAAATTGAAATATAAAAGAATAAGATTCTTTACACAAATATATCCACAAAAACTCAATCATCGAAATATTCTTGTAATGTATAATAAGCTTCAGCCAATAATAAATCTGTCAGTGATTTTTTGAATTCGAGAGTATTACAGGCCTTCATTAGATTCGGGAGTTTATTATATATTTTCACCCCAACATAAGTTGGCAATTTTTCAAATGCGGATGTTCTGTGAGTCATTGTTATTAAATTTGTACCGTTTCTAGTGCAATATTGGTGGTGGTAATTGTTTTTTTCAGCTCATTTTCATGTTTTTCGATGTGCAAGCAAGAATCACATGGCTTCATGGTGAAAATCAATCTAACAATCCGTTTTTGTGTAACAAATCTGTTTTGAAAAAATCTGTTTTGAAATATGTTTTTCCTTTAACCAGCAGCGAACGACAACCCTCAGAAGTCGAAACTTCGAGCTGAGTATTAACGAGGTCTTACCTTTTAACGTGTGATTCCTAACACCGGTTGGACGATAGCAAGTGAAAATCGTTCGTTCAGATTAGGGTTCGAACCACCGACCAACACAGCAGTCAATTCGAGTGGGTGAACAAAGCACCCACGTCGAACCGCCTGGCTACCGACTGAGCTATTTATTTATGTGTCATTTTTCCATAACATGATGTGAAATAATAATACAGAATATACTAATGAATAATAAACTTGGATATGAATAGTCTCATGAAGTTCATACTTCAATTGCAAAATTGTGAAGTGGGATTTGAAGAGTTCTTTTTTGATAAACTTTCAATATGCTCAGGCAATGAGCATGAGAGTGATTTAATCATTACACCCAGAAACTTAGTGGAGTTATGTGTCTAAAGGACTTCACTATCGATTAGATTATTCTTATTGAAATATTAAGTATGTTGTTGTTTTATAATTTCATGATTTGTTTTTTGGAAGTGTTATTCAAATATATTTTTCGTTTATCTTGAAAGAAAAAGTATAAACAAACATACATTTGAACGTAGATCTCCAAAATATAAATATGTATACACATTTGTATAAATAAATATGTAACAATGTGAAAAACGGATATATATACAAGTATAGAAATGTAAAATTGAAATATAAAAAAACAAGATTCTTTACACGAATATATCCACAAAAACTCAATCATCGAAATATTCTTGTAATGTATAATAAGCTTCAGCCAATAATAATTGAATTCGAGAGTATTACAGGCCTTCATTAGATTCGGGAGTTTATTATATATTTTTACCCCAGCATGAGTTGGCAATTTTGAAATGCGGATATTCTGTGAGTCATTGTTATTAAATTTGTAGCGTTTCTAGTGCAATATTGGTGGTGGTAATTGTTTAACTAACTAACTAACTAACTAACAATCCGTTTCTGTGTAACAAATCTGTTTTGAAAAAATCTGTTTTGAAATATGTTTTTCCTTTAACCAGCAGCGAACGACTACCCTCAGAAGTCGAAACTTGTGCGAGCTAAGTATTAACGAGGTATTACCTTTCAACGTGTGATTCCTGAAATCGGTTGGACGATAGCAAGTGAAAATCGTTCGTTCAGATTAGGGTTCGAACCACCGACCAACACAGCAGTCAATTCGAGTGAGTGAACAAAGCACCCACGTCGAACCGCCTGGCTACCGACTGAGCTATTTATTTATGTATAATTTTTCCATAACATGATGTGAAATAATAATACAGAATATACTAATGAATAATAAACTTGGATAAGAATAGTCTCATGAAGTTCATACTTCAAATGCAAAATTGTGAAGTGGGATTTGAAGAGTTCTTTTTTGATAAACTTCCAATATGCTCAGGCAGTAAGCATGAGAGTGATTTAATCATTACACCCAGAAACTTAGTGGAGTTATGTGTCTAAAGGACTTCACTATCGATTAGATTATTCTTATTGAAATATATAATTTTTGTTTTCTGTACATTCAGCATCAGTTTATTGAAATGACAATATTTTGTTCTTTCACTAATACCTCTGACCCTGATCCAACTTTTTATACCATACTTCACTGTCAGTATGTTATATTCCATGGCTTCAAATTCGTGAAATATGCAGCTACTTCGGGTGTTCCACAAGAAAGCAACCTAAGTCCTTCATAAACGACATATTTGAGGTCATTGACATCAACTGTTTGATATACGCGGATGACCTGAAATTATATTGTGAGATCAATGGCATCGAGGACTGTCTTCAACTTTCCCTCAATCTGAAACGTGTTGATCAATGGTGTTTTGGCAATAATCTTCCTTTAAACTCGAGTAAATGTAATGTTATGACGTACACACTAAAAAATCGTCCAATAACACGTCAGTATTTAATAAACGATATTCCACTTCAACGGCCTCGCACATTCACCGATCTAGGTGTTACCTTCGATACAAAACTTTCCATCGTAACACACATTGAAGCCATTATGTCGGCTGCAAACAGAATGCATGGATTTATTGCACGAATCTCCAGAGATTTCTCGTATCCATCTACATTGAAAACCTTATACTATGCTTTCGTCAGATCAAAAATAGAATATGCATCTATAATTTGGAAACCATCTCATCAGTACAACGTCGTTTCCTAAAACTTATCTCCTATAGATCAGACAATATCTATCCACCTATTGGATTTCCTCATGATGCATTGGTAGCTAGACATGCTATGAATAGCTTGAGTTGCCGTCGTGATTGTCACTCCACAATTTTTCTTTTCAGACTGATTAATGATTCAATTATTGACCAACATATTCTGCATAAACTGAATTTCAATGTACGTAGACCAACCTCTGGAGTCGTTAATCCTTTTTATCTGCCAACACCACGTAAAAATATTCTGAAACGTTCACGTCTGCATAACATGTGTCTATTTGAAAACTAATAACCAATTTTGAGGCATTCACAGAAGAATAAAAATTAAAGTTTTCGTATTATCTAGAAAAATATTAAATATACTTTGAAAAATTTCTGTTCAATTTCACATTTTTCACGATTTGGTTGAATGTGATTTTCATTTCTTCTTCTTATCCATCGAGAACCACTTTCATTTCAAGTTTCAGAAAAGAACTTGCATTTACTTTTGAATTCTTGAAGTTCTCATTTTAATTCACAACACAACATCAAGATTGGGCCATTGAAAAGTAACACAAATTCCTAACTATCATCACAATTATCGAAAGTTTCATATCCCCTTATGATAATCACTAACACATCTTTCAAAAAGACAAAGTAGATTCTCTGAAATAAACCCAAGTATATTTGTTTTATCAGCCATGTCTCAAGAGAAATGGACGCTAGCAGTTCAATTATTTGGACACCAAGTCACCATTAACTCTGAATACATAATGGAAAACGATGTATATTTTCTATACACTTTTGTTCAACTGTATCAATAAGAAGTTTCGAGCTTAAAAGGATTTTGATGTTGTCTTGAATATTAATTGACATTCAATTAGCTTCATCGAATTGTATACCAATAATTCATTGACGCAATTAAACAGATATCATTTATTAAATTTCATATTCTATTGTCAGAAATATTCATTTGAATAGTTGAAGATAATCCTGTCTAAATTCTGAGGCAAATTTTTTTATGAGAAAATTTAAACACCAGGTTTTTTTTTCATTTCAGCATATCAGAAGGAAGAAACACAAATAATTATAGTATAGTTAGTGAATGGGTCAATTTGACTCTTCACTGCAACCTACGAGGGTTTATTCTAGCTCGTACATTCAAACTTCGCCAACTTTCAAAAGAAGTCATTACTTCATTCAGCAAGTAATCTCTCAGGTTGATTGGTACGAGTGGGACTATGCTGAATGCTGAGAACCTAATTCGTTTCTCGGTTCAGCTGGTAGAGTGTATGTGTTCTACCACCACTGTCTGAATTTTTTTGTGTCGACAGACCATGCTACATTTTTCTTCTTCTCGTGAGGACTTGATCAGCGGTCCGTCTTTGCACGTCTGCAGATCATGTTTGCAGAAAATAACTGTATACCATGTCAGACAGAAAATGTTCACTTGATTCTCCCAGAAGAACCACTCAGGCCAGAATATGCAGGAGAAAACGTACCTGTCCACCACCTACGGAGCTATAATGGCATACTTGAATAGAGTGAGGGGTTAATTAGTTCCAATTAACAATTGGGCTGGAAAAGTCGTAAGGTAACTTTTTTCCTTTCATTTTTCAATATAGTTGCCTACGAGGGCGATACAATTATTATAGCAGTCATATAATTTTTTGATACCAGTTGTCCCACCATACGATTTGTCTTTAGCCTAGAAATAGGCCTCAGTTTGAAAGATTGCCTTTTCATCGGGGCTAAATTTTCCAATGACCATTCTTTCGTGGCCTCAGAACAGGAAAAAGTCACTGCGAGTCAGGTCTGGAGAATACGGTGGATGTGAAAGTAATTCGAAACCCAATTCATGCAATTTTGCCATCATTTTCAGAGATTTGTGACACTTCCTTGTTGATGGTTTTTCCTTTGTCATTATATCATGCAAATCCCAAAATACTAACAACATAACCTTGCCAGCCGACTGTTGCGTCTTTGCACGCTTTGGAGTCAGTTCATCACGTGCAGTCCAATTAGATGACAATCGTTTTGATTCTGGTGGAAAACGATTGAGCCATGTTTTATCCATTATCACATATCGACTCATTAATTCGGGTTTTTTATGGTGGAATAGCTTCAAACACTGCTCAGAATCATCAATTCGTTCTTATTTTTGGTCGATTATGAGCTCGCGCGTACCCACTTTTTACAGAGTTTCATTATACCCAAATATTCATGCTACAATATGTCCAACACGTTCTCTTTTATCTTCAGCTTTCTCGATTAATTTTACTCTGCGGTCATCCAAAACTGTTTTTGTCGGCGAAATCCTCTTTAGGCGTCCACTGCATGCATCGTCTTTGGTGATCATTTCACCTCCGTTAAACTTAGCAAACCAGTTCTCAATGGTTGATTTTTCTGGTTGAAGGTCTAAATAATGTTCAAAGGTTGCTTTGGCTTCAACAGTATTTTTTTCATCAAAAAGCTAGGCTTCAAACTAACGAAAGTTGCTTCTTTCAAAATGTTCTGTCACACAAACTAATAGTCCGACAGTTGTGAAATTTGTACACGTACCTTTTGAAGGTTAGGTTAACTCAGAATCATATGGATTCAATACTAGTATACTGTGTATGAGGCTATAAACTTTTCAGACCACCTGATATAAAAACTGTTTTCTACAGGAGTGTAGAATGTCAACATTTCGTGTGAGGAATCTGTGTCAATCGATAGGGACTCATTCAAGTTCAGATAGTAATTTTGAATATTCATGAATGTTTGAAGAAGAAAAACTGTCACACTTCACATAATGCTATTGTGAATAGAATATGCGAGTTGACGAAACGTTCGACAGTTCTTCGAGTCATTAAAATAGGGGTTGTCATTGACCATGCAATGAAACGAAAACAAAGGAATAAAAAATTCGCAAACGTTGATGGTGCTACAAAAGATGTGATTCAGTTTGAAAATGTCCGTATAGGACGAAACTGCAGTAACGTTAGTTACAAATAAAAGTGGTAAAAAACATAGAAAGTTTCATTTCTCTTTTCTTCAACGAATAATGTTTGTAGCAGATTTCATCAAAGGCTCGAATTCACATTCATCAAATGTGGTACAACCTGGTACAATCATTATTATCTTTGAAACTTTTTTCACCTCATATAGAAACGAGAACGCTTTTTCTTTATTTCATGGTCCAATGTTTTTGTGTATCTGGAAATACTTTGACAATCAATGTACGGTAGAAGTATCGTATGATGGTCCTTCATTTTTGAATTATTATATTATTAAGTGAATAATTTCACATAATTTGTTTTCCCTGTGAAAAGGAAGTGTTGTGTATACTCACTGTGTTGACTACCGGTTGCTACAAAAAATATTTTGCTAAGTTATCTTGACCAAGTGAGTATGACACTGAATCAGTTGCAATTATTTCCGACTTATGTCGTAGTTATGCAAACTACGTGACTATGGAAGATACTTTATCTCAAAATTGTATCTATTTAACGAAAAAGTCAAATATTAGTACCAAATGCCTGATTCAAACGAAACATTCTACAATTTTCATTCTGAGAATGCAATATTTCCAGTTGTTATTTTTCACAACGCTGAATATGAAGTCTCATTTGTATATTTGAAAAAAATTGAGGTTGGGGAACCTTTTTAAATTCTGATCATCTTGAGATCACGTGTTATCAATGAGAGAGTAAGAGAGTTATAAACATGTTGCAAATTATATTTTTCAAAAAAATTCTAAAATACGTTAATTGCCTTTGACGAAATGACAACTATCTGACATACTTACAAATTTCTCTCAGATATTTGATTGATTGATTGATAATATGCTTATTGTTTAAGAATAGAATTGTTGTTATAAACACAACGTCATAAATGAATATTAATATAAACATGAAGTATAAATGTACAAAATGTAAATGATTAAAGTAAAATATAAACTATATATACATACATCTACAAAGGTTATATGACAAGAAATAGAACAACGAATTAAAATATGTTTTTCACACAGTACAATCGCAATTTCCACACATTCTAAATTACAAAATATTCTTGTAGGTCATAATAGGCTTCATCACTTAATAGTTTTAGACATTTCTTCACGAATATGATAAAATAAGTCTCTTTGATTTCATTGGGAAGTTTATTGTATATCCTGATTTCATTATATATCAACGAGTTTTGAACCAAACATGTTTTTGGAATAGGTAGATTCAGTTCATTTGACCGCCTTGTGTGGTATGTGACTGTAGCTGTAGATTCATAGTTCTCCCTATTTTTACGTATAATCGATACGGTTTCCAATATAAGCGAAAAAAGCAAACCCAAGTTCCTTTCAAATGTTTCTCAGTACGAAACATCCTGATGCCAATTTTTTGTTGATGTGTGCAATATGCTGAGCGAATTTTAAATTTTCATCTGAAAAGATTCCCAAAAATTTCAAATGGTAGTTATTTTTTATTGTATTATTGTCTAGGGGAATATCAGGTATTTTACCCTTGAATGCTAATATTTTTGTCTTGCTGGTATTCAATGATAAAAGATTCGAGTCAAACCAATTCTTCACTTTTTCATATCTGTTTTTGTCCTTAACATGCCACATTAATGTGATGTCGTCAGCAAATAAGGTAAAACTTCCTGTACTCGATATGTTGGTTGAATCATTAAATATAACAGAAACAGTATAGGACCTAATACATAGCCTTGAGGTACTCCACAATATATCTTTCCAACATCCGTGTTAGATGACGTTCTTACAAATTGTTTTCTATCAGAATGGTATGAAATAATCTGCTGCTGTGGCTTCTCCGCTGTTGATTTCAACGAAAGTTTACAAACATAATATTTTCACTGCATGTTGTTTCTAAAGAGTGACAGTTAATACCAAAATTTCCTTATACCATCCTGTATTGCATCCAGAATAATTTGCACAATTTTCTGGTAAATAAAGTCTTCAGAAACTTCAAAGTTATTTGTTCTGTTCAGATATGAGCCTGATTTCTGATAACAGAGACAAGTCAGGAGAACGAGCTGATCATCCCAACGTAATGCTTCTGTCAAGTTGCCTTTTGTGAATAACTTTTAAATAAGCTCGAACCTCAGCTAAAACATGAAATGGAGTTTCATCTCATGAAAGATTTCTTTATCAATTTTGTTAGCATTATCTTCAGTTGGAAAAAGTTCATTCGTTCATTTCATTGTCGCAAGATCAGGGACTAACTAACTACAGAAAAATTACAGTGAAAATATATTTCACTGATAACACAACAGATACACTCGAAAAAATAGTGAAATGCAGTTAGAAACGAAATTGATTTCAGAAGTTCATGTAATTCTGGATTGATACATGTTGAAAGTGAATCAAGAGTGATAAAAAGATATATTAAAATGACAACAACGAAATTACACCAATTAGAATTTTCTCCAATTGTATTCAGATTTCACAATGGAATAGTACTTCATTATTTTTTCAGATATTGAATCATATATAATGATCCCATCATGATATACCGACTCCTTCCAACATTTATTTGTACTTTCGTTTTTCTTCAATTTCAATAAAATTCAACTTTGATTTCTTTATATTATTCTCAACGACATGGTCGAAGCCAGTTTTTGCCCTTCTACCTCTCCAAATGGAATAGAGAAAAGTGTTTTTCGTATAATTCTTTCTTTTGTATAATTCAATGTTTATATGACAATAGCTGTTTCGAGAGAACATTTTCTTCCAGTTTGTGTCTGAAAGTAAGTTTATTGCATGATCTATACATAATTAACAGGTAAAGGGTAAGTATAAAATCAAATATACAGGGTGTAACTGAATAAGTGTAAAACATTCAAGGAGGTGATTTCTCATCGAAAAAAAAAGATCTTTCATATAAAGAAACTTCATTGGAGCATCCCTCGTTAAGATGCAGCCCCTTAAAGGGGGTACATAAAATTTGTATAACAATTTTTTTCACAAGCACTGAAAAATTTACAAAATTGAAATTAATCTGACGTTTTGTACTACCAAAAGACACATGAGTTTCTGGGAAAACTATCATCCGCAATAATGATGATGTCTCCTTCTGCAACATCGCTGCTATTGAACTGCCACTTGCTTCTTTTTATCAGCGAGGGTACATATTCTCGTATCCACCGTTTCCAGAAAAGGTCCGCATATTTTCATGCCACTCGCCATTGTTTTCTAAGATGTGAATTTGTATCAGCAGCAAAACCTAATGGATTCACTTCATTGGACTTTCCAATAAGGAAGTGATTGGGTGTCAAAGCTTCCACATCTTGATGATCAGAAGACACATAAGTTGAGGGATGGCTGTTCACTGTATACTCAATTTCAACTATAAGAGTATGCAAAATCTCTTCTTTTGGGCTCTGTTGGGTGAGAATCACTTTTAAGGCACTTTTTAACAGATTCAACCATTCTTTCCCATTTTTCTCCCACATTTTATATGACGAATGCAGCAAAACTGTTGAATTCGGTTTGAATCTAGTTCTTTTATGACTAGTTTCATTTCTTTTTCAGCTCCGCAGAGGTTTGATCCATTATCAGAGTGTATTTCTGATGGATTACCTCTTCTACAAATAAATCTACTAATTGACATGATGGCAGAAACCGTAGTAAGGGAAGAAGCCAGTTCTAGATGAATTGCCCTCGTTGTCATACAGGTGAAGATGACCTCATACCTCTTTTCCTACCTTCTACCAATTGTTACTGTCATTGGGCCAAAATAATCCATGACTGTAATCATGAATGGTCTGCATTGTTGTACTGTCCTAAATTCTGGAATTAGTCCCATCTGCTGAGTTTCAACCCTGGCGTTTTTCTTCTCACATATAATGCATGATGATATACAAGCTTCAACTGCTGATCTAACGTTGATTATCCAAAATATTTCCCTTAAATTGTTTATGATTTGTTCTCTTCCCTGTTGATGATTCAGTTTATGATAATGTCTTATCAACAACTTGGTCATCCAGTTTCTTGAATCCAGAACAATTGGCTGTCTCATATTGATATCTAGGTGTTGTGCTTCATCCAATCGTTCAATTAGTCGTAAAATATTGTCTTGGCCGATAAATAAATTCAAATTTTGAAGAAGACTTTGTTTTCCAGGATTCTTCATACGATTGAGTGTCTCAATATCTTCGAAGGAACAACTCATTTGTGATTGCCTAATAATTTCAAATTCAGCCTTTTTGAATTCTTCAACCGTTAGCTCATCTGAGAAAATCTAAGGAGTTGGTAGACCAATTTTCTTCTTCATGAAATGAATTAATCTTATCACCCAAGCGACCGATCTGACAAGCCGTAAATAATTCGAAAATCTTGAAAATTTGACAATTTCTTCACATCTCTTGTTGATTACAAAAACAAAATTCTTCTTTTTTTCTACTTCTGTACCATCTTCTATCTTTTTTTCAGCATGAGGCCATTTAATATCTTTTGAAGTCAGGAACTAAGGATCTTCAAACCAATTCTGAAAGTTATCAATATTCCAGAGACCCCTGGTCGCTTCATCTGCTACATTGAACATTGTGGGTAGCCAATGCCATTCATCAGGATTTGTATTATTAGAAATTTCTCCAATTCTGTTGGCAACAAAAGTCTTATAGTTCCTTGGATGCGACTTAATCCAACTCAAAAACAATCCAAAAATCTATTTTTATGCTGTGGCCATTTTCGATAGTTTTAGCCAAGCTCTGCGATCTATAGACGTTTGAATCTCTATAATAGCTAGCTTTCTTTCAGTTTCACGTTCTAAATTTTCTAATTTTTGTTGTTCCAATTCTAATTTTTGTTGTTCGAATTTCAATTGCCTATCTTCTATTTTTTTCCGTAGTTAATTTTCAGCCTGCAACTTCTTCAATTTCAATATTTTCAATTTACTTGCAATTGAGCTACGTGACTTGGTAGATTTTGATGACGCATCTGATTCATTTGGCGTATAATTTGACGGCGGGATTCCAGCAGTGGCTCTGCTAGTTCTTCGAACAGCACCTTCCTATCGTGACATCATTCAATTGGGATTTTACAAATTTGACAGTAATCGATGATTTCCTTCTTAGAATGCGGCTTCAACTCGAAAAGGTACTGAACAAAACTCGAAGGACCAAAATATTTGAGCAAACTTTTTATTTTCGGCAAAATAAGATTCTATTTGACTTTTTGCTTTTTATTCCAAAAACAAAACTGACAACAATAATGGTAACTATATAAAACAATAAATAATCTCAACTCCAATAGTAGATGTGAAATTAATTCACAACAAGTGCCTGTACTCGTTACAGATGGTAAGGGTATATGAGTTGTTCATTTGAAATTCGAAATACCGTCATATGCTCAATATTTAGCTGAAAAGCAATCTTTCTAGTAATGG